GTGGAGCAGCTGTAAGTGACGGCCCAGCTGAAGGCTACGAGGTAATCCCCGCATCTGGAGCCAGGGCAGGCTCAGGCCCCTGACTCGGCCCAGCTGGTGCTTGTTGCAAGGGAACCTGTGCAGACTGGGGCTCTTCAGGATCAGGCCCCAGACTAGGTTCAGATGCCACCTGAGGCAAAGGATCCAGTGCGGACTGAGACTCCTCTGGTTCCGGGCCCGAACCCAAGTCCCAGGCCATCACACCCTGCTGGGTCAGGCCAGTGACCCGTCCAGTCCAACACCCTGTCCTCACAGTAGCCAACCAGATGATTATTTTTTGAATGTATATACCGCCCTATACCAAGGGGTCTCAGGGCGGTTCGCAGAATAAACAAATAAATATAGCAAAAGCACACTCTCCTCTTCTGTGGTTTCCAGAGCCTTTAGCCATTATGCTTAGTAGACCTTGATATTCCTCTCTTCTATGAACCTGACAAATCCTCTTTTAAAGCCATCTAGATTGGCAGCCATCGCTGCCTCCTGGCTGAGCGGGATCTATAGTTTAACAATGTGCTGTGTGAAGAGAAGGCATCCTGCAGATTTTGCAAACTTCCATTCCCGTTGGTTCTGCTTGGCTCTGGTTTCAGCTGACTGACATGAGCCCCTCTCCTAGACACCCAAGCTCAGCTGCTGAGATGATGGTGGAAAGTTCATGAGCAATTAATAGGTCCAAGAACATACAGCTTAGGAAGCAGCGGAATAGGGTCCCACCATTTGTGCAAAGGATGCTGCTTCCAGCCAAGTCAGATCATTCGTCCAGCTAACTCAGAACTGCCTCTTCCAGCCTTCCCCAGCTTCGGGCCCTCTTGAAGTCTTGGATTACAAGTCCCATCATCCCTGACCTCAGGGACTGGTGAGAGTTGGAGCTCCACAACATCAGGTCAATAGCATTAGGCCGAAGAAGGCTGGTCTACTTACATAGCAAGTCTCTTTCCAAGTAGGGACGCGGGTGGCGCTGTGGTCTAAACCACCGAGCCTCTCGGGCTTGCCAATCGGAAGGTCGGCAGTTTGAATCCCCGCGACGGGGTGAGCTCCCGTTGCTCTGTCCCAGCTCCTGCCAACCTAGCAGTTCAAAAGCACACCAGTGCAAGTAGATAAGCAGATACTGCTGTGGTAGGAAGGAAAACAGTGTTTCTGTGCGCTCTGGTTTCCGTCATAGTGTTCTGTTGCACCAGAAGTTGTTTAGCTATGCTGGCCACATGACCCGAAAAAGCTGTCTGTGGACAAACGCCGGCTCCCTCGGCCTGAAAGTGAGATGAACACCGCAACCCCAGAGTTGCCCATCTTTCCAAGTCCTGCAGCCAGAGATCCTTTTCTAGCTCAGTGGCAGACCACATGCTCCATTTGCCAAAGATCCCAGATTCAACTTCTGGTGTCTCCATGCAGCCCTGAAACAATGCAGACAGGCAGTACTAAGCTTGCCAGACCAAGTGTCTGTCTTTGTACAAGGAAGTTTCTTTTGCTCCTAAGTGGATTTGCCAAGGACTGATCCTTCTGAATCCATGAATCCTGCCAACGCTGGTGCCAATGCCCCCTTGCAATTAGCAACTCGCCTGGGATGAGCACATATGACTTTCGCAGGTGCCCAGGTGGATGGCTTGCTATAAACGTTGGTTCTCTTTGATGGTAAGAGAATCCTGGCTTTCGCGGTCCATCTTGGTGAGGCTGCGCAAGAAATCTGTTTGCCCATTGAATTGCGCCTCTGATGATCTCAAGTATCCCTTTGCTTGTGAAACACAGAGCCACTTGGCAGCCAAGGGAGCTGGGGTGGGGGAGGGACAATTTCCTGTCCCTGCTTAATTCTACTTCAAAGCTCTTTGGCCAGGAAAATTGATAATGCAGTCAAGTAGAGTTTCTTTAAATGTCCTCATTTAGCTCTCGAAACTGGGCTATTGAATCCATGCAGTTCTTTGATCAAGACCGGTTAATTAAGTTATTCCCTTGATATGGGTCTTATCACTTTCACTCTAGACCTCCATCACGCCGCCACAATTTGCGTGAAGGCTTTGATATGCATCCAGTAAGCTCCTCCAACCGGCCCAGAAATCGGGAGTTTCAAGATGAGACGCCCAGTTAAGCCTTGTCAGTTTCAGACTCACATCAGTCCTGGGCTATTGTCTGGAGGGTCTACGAAACTTACCAGGAGCATTGCACAGCAGATATCAAGGCCTTCTCCTGCCACAACCTCACCAGGACAAACACCTTTGTATTGTTGGCCAAGTTGCATCTCTGCTTCTCTACTTCATTGCAGGGTGGAGACAGCAGAGAACACCCTTAGCCTGGAGAAGACTATCAATAGCTGTGATGGCTCAATGTTCTTCCTCTGCTATGCCTCTGAATACAAGTTGCTAGGATTCCCAAGTGCGGACAGCATCATTGCACCCAGGTCTTGCTGGCAGGCTTCCCACAATGGGCATCTGGTTGGCCACTGTGAGAACAGGATGATGGACTAGATGGGCCCTTGGTCTGATCCTGCAAGGCCTGGCCAATCTGGAGGCTTTGTGTTGTGTGCCAACCACATAGATGATGCCCCATGTCAGCTCTTGATGTGCCAAAGCCTAAGCACATAGTCCTTGCTAACTCTTCTGGTTGGGTCTATCTCAGTGTTGGATCCCCATCTCCCAACATGGCTGCCTGAACCACAGACCCTATTTTCCAGGACAGTCCCAGATTTAAGAAGCCATCCCAGTTTCTGATCTGATCCCAGAATGTCCTGCTTTTCCTTTGTTGTTGTTTAGTCGTTTAGTTGAGTCCGACGCTTCGTGACCCCATGGACCAGAGCACGCCAAGCACTCCTGTCTTCCACTGCCTCTTGGTCACACTCATGTTGGTAGCTTTGAGAACACTGTCCAACCATCTCGTCCTCTGTCGTCCCCTTCTCCTTGTGCCCTCCATCTTTCCCAACGTCAGGGTCTTTTCCAGGGAGTCTTCTCATGAGGTGGCCAAAGTATTGGAGCCTCAGCTTCATGATCTGTCCTTCCAGTGAGCACTCAGGGCTGATTTCCTTGGTTTGATCTTCTTGCAGTCCATGGGACTCTCAAGAGTCTCCTCCAGCACCAGAATTCAAAAGCATCAATTCTTCGGCGATCAGCCTTCTTTATGGTCCAACTCTCACTTCCATACATCACTACTGGGAAAACCATAGCTTTAACTATACGGACCTTTGTCGGGAAGGTGATGTGTCTGCTTTTTAAGATGCTGTCTAGGTTTGTCATTGCTTTTCTCCAAAGAAGCAGGCGTCTTTTAATTTCGTGACTGCTGTCACCATCTGCAGTGATCATGGAGCCCAAGAAAGTAAAATCTCTCACTGCCTCCATTTCTTCCCCTTCTATTTGCCAGGAGGTGATGGGACCAGTGGCCACCGGCAAGCCACTCCAGTATCCCTGCCAAGAAAACTCCATGCTTTTCCTTAGGACATCTCTATTTTCATTGGAGAAATGTTGGAGGGTATGGAATTGGACATCCCCGGGGCTTTTTCTCCCAGCTAGAACTCACCAGAACTCAGTTCCGGCAGCTCTCAGGTGAGCACCACTGCCATCATAAGAGAACAAGGGAGGTGCTCATGGTGAGCGCCAGAACCTCTTTTTCTAGAAAAATAGCGCTGAATGTCCCTATTTTCACTGGAGAATGTTGGAGGGCTTTTCAATCAATTCCCACAGCTTTTTAAAGGCGTGTGTGCGGCGGAGAGGTGAGGCATTAAATAGTCCCAAATAAATCATATTATTGCTGAGTCAAAATTTCCCCAATGTTGTTTTTCTGAGAAAATGCCAGGTTTTTCCTTGTCTCACCTCAAAGAACAGGAATAGGCAACCATGGCCCTCCAGATGTTTTGGAACTACAATTCCCATCATCCTTGACCGCTAGGCAACATGGGAGTTGTAGTCCCAAAACATCTGGAGGGCCGAGATTGCCTATGCCTGTCAAAGAATAAGGCCACTTTGCAGAATCTCTTCTGAATATTCTCGTCTGTTTTTATGGTATATCCAGCATTCCCACCCCACCATGGTTCCATCTAGTTGCAAAAGTGCGGTTGGGCAGTCAACAATTTCTGACCCTCCTTGCAGCTATGGCACAAAAAAACCTCCCAAACCCTTTCTTGCGGGGGGAGAAGCTCTGCTTCTGCAAATGGTGAGCCCCACTCCCCAGATATTATGGGCTGTCCCGTGAATCCGCTGGATGAAATTGCGGAAGAACGTTGCCTCAGGAGAGTAAGGAAAATTCTCAGGGATGATTCACACCCTGGCTGGCACTTTCTTGATCTCCTGCCCTCTGGCAGAAGATATAGAAGCATGATTAGTCGCACCAATAGGGTAAAGAACAGCTTCTATCCATGGGCTGTTAGGCTGCTGAATGAAAAGATAACAATAGGGCAACTGACTTTCGGGTTTGATGGGTGTGCGTCAGTAAACGAGGGGAATTAAGACTAAGAGAGCTGAGTGGGGGGTGCTCGTGTAATCTCACTGCATACAAGTTGTACAAGTGACAATCAAGTATTTCAGAAACTGTTGGGACAATCTTTCCCGGAGAAATGGGTTGAAATGATCCTCCCAATTTCTGTACACACAAATTTGGTGGAGAATTCTCTGGGGCGGGGGGGGGGGGCATGACTGTTTGAAATGGTCCCGTAGCACTTTAAAGGCATGGTGTCAAAAGGAGATGGGAGCCTTTCACAGGCCTTTGAGAATTAACTCTGCACAATTCCCAACGCACCTCACTAAAATAAAAAAAAAGGGAATAGATCTGCAAACTCCTGGTCTTGAGAAGGATCCTGTGGCTAAGAATAGGCAGGGAAAACCTTAGCCAGCACTCTCACGAAAAATGGTATGTGGTCCTATTCAAAATATTTAACTGGATTATGACGGCATCACCCCCACCAGCGTATCTGAACTGGCCACAGAATTACTTTTTAAAAAGAAAGACGAACAATCAAAGGTCCCCCACTTTAAAAAACAACAACATCCGCCTGTCCCCTTTTTTATTAATATTATTTACTTGCCCAAAGTCCTCTCCCTTGGCTGTCAGTATAAACACCAGGTGAAATTCAGATGAGGGAAAAGGCCATTTCTTCCCCCGAGCCACCAAAGCAAAGCCACGTTATATAAACCAGCACCGTTTAAATCATTCTCGATTTAATACAAACAAGTGCAAAAAGGAAGCCCATTGAGGGAGCAACCGGCTAGCTACACAGGCGCGCATGTTTGGATGTTGTCGTTCTTTTATATATATATATAAGAAAAGAACAAATTTCCCTTATTTGTTTTTTCCACCCCTCCCTTCTGTCTTTAATACAACTTCCTGAGGTTTATTTTGAAAAGAAGGAAAAGTCAAGTGGTCCGTGATGCTTTGGGCAAACCGGCTTGCTGAGAGCTGTGCTGCCACCTAGTGGTGAGAAGGAAATGTTCGCAGCGAGTTGGTCTCCCCACACACAGAATCATAGAATTGTGGAATTGAAAGGGACACCGGGGGTCATCTAGTCCAACAAGCAGGCCCCCTTCCCATTCTAACTGTTGGGGTGGGGGGAGCTGATTCTATATGGGTGCTCTGCGCCTGGCATGCACAGCCAAGCCCAATTCAGCAGCCCCCCCCCCCCAGTTAAAGCCACCCTCCTCTCTGCTCAACACATGAAGGGGTCTGCCGCTGTTTTTTGTGCGGAATATATGCTATATGGTAAATTTATGCACCTAATAGGTATCTTATGAGACACAGGTGGCGCTGTGGTCTAAACCACAGAGCCTAGGGCTTGCCGATCGGAAGGTTGGCAGTTCGAATCCCCGCAACGGGGTGAGATCCCGTTGCTCAGTCCTTGCTCCTGCCAACCTAGCAGTTCGAAAGCACGTCAAGTGCAAGTAGATATAGGTACCGCTACAGCGGGAAGGTAAACGGCGTTTCCGTGAGCTGCTCTGGTTCGCTGTCTGCGGGCAAACGCCAGCTCCCTTGGCCTATAGAGTAAGATGAGCGCACAACCCCAGAGTCATCCGCGACTGGACCTAACGGTCAGGGGTACCTTTACCTTTACCTTTAATAGGTATCTCAAGCCATTTGCCCATGTTGCCATGCAACCAGTCCATGCAGAATGTAGGCACCCTATATATAGAAAGGAGCAAACCAGTGATACTTTAGGGAGCAGGCTAGCAGGCGGGGCCCATGACTTACATCATAGGAGCCTACACAACATAAACCACTGTTGCTGGATGTAGGTTTTATTTTATTTGTTTTTATCTTATATTTTGGAAATGTGCATCCAGTTTTTTCCCTTTAATTTTTTGGGGGCCCAAGAGAGTGGGGCCCTAAGCTATAGCTTGTTTAGCTCATACGTAAATCCGGTACTGCCCCTCCCAGAGCTACAATTCCCAGAGTGTCTTCCTCTTCCCAGGGAAGTCTTGGAATTGTAGTTCTGGGAATTGTAGTTCCCAGCATCCTGAACAAACTACAATGCCCAGAATTCTTTGGGGGATGCTTAAAAAATTAAGGGTCTATGACAGTGGTTTAAATGTATGGTGACCGTTGTTGAACCACTCTGGGAAATGTAGCAGGGGGGCTCCTAAGAACTCTCAGCACCCATCAAGAATCCCACAGCTCCCATAATCCTTCGGGAGAAGCCAGGACTGTTTAAAGAGGTAAGATAGTGCTTTAAATGTGTGGTGTGAACCAGGCTCTGAGTGGGTTTGCAATCCTCTTGATTGTAGCCCTGTGAGGGGAATAGGGGCCTCCTAAGAGCCTTCGGCACCCTTAACAAACTACACTTCCCAGAATTCTTTGGGGGAGCCATAAGGTTTCTGGCAGCTCTACATCCATGCCCAATTACAGTGGTACCTTGGTTCTCAAACTCCTTGGTACTCACAACAACTTGGAACCCAAACACTGCAAACCCAGAAGAAAGTGCTTCAGTTTGCAAACTTAGTTTGGAAGCCAAACGTGCTCCGTTTTGAGTGTTACGCTTCCAATTTGAGTGCCACACTGAGGTCTGTCTGTTTTTGCTATATATTTGGGTTTTTGTTTTTGCGGCTTTTTTGTTTTGTGACTGTGTGGAACCCAGTTCAGCTACTGATTGATTGATTGATTGTGTGCCTGCAGTACATTGTTTATTGCTTTCATTTTATGAATCAATAGTCTCGTTAGATAGTAAAATTCATGTTAAATTGCTGGTTTAGGAGTTGTTTTTAAAAGTCTGGAACAGATTAATCCGTTCTGCATTACTTTCTTTGGGAAAGTGCGCCTTGGTTTTGGAATGCTTTGGTTTTGGAACGGACTTCCGGAACGGATTAAGATTGAGAACCAAGGCACCACTGTACTCTCTTGGTAGCAGAGGAGGAAGAAACTGGTCCTAAACAGAGTTCCTGAATTGCTCTAGGCTGGACTAGGATTCTCCAGACAGACTAGTGTACAGAGAAACACCAGCCAATGATCACATTTGCTCTCCAAATGATGCCAATGAGTCCATCAAGTTGGCTTTCAAGGCCTGTTCAGTTTGAGGATCTGGACCAGGGACACTCCATCCCTGACTGTCCACTTTCCAGGTTTTGAATAAACCCCTTGTTCGATTCTTCAGCTTCCTTTTTTCTTCTTTCTTTTCTTTTTTTGGCCAAATGGCTTTTACTCTCCTAAAGCAGAAAACAGAAACGGAATGGCTACTCCATCACCGACAGCAAATGGACTCTCCGTCTCTCCGAAGATACTTCAGTCTTCCGCCTTGTTCTTTATCTTCAACATATGGAATAAGCCGAATTTCGTTTTCTTCTTTTCACTTTCCTGGGTGTTACGGGGCACATCTGCAGAGGGCGAGAAAAACAATACAGTGGTACCTCGGGCTACAGACGCTTCAGGTTACAGACTCCCCTAACCCAGAAATAGTACCTCGGGTTAAAAACTTTGCTTCAGGATGAGAACAGAAATTGCATGATGGCGGCAGCAGGAGGCCCATTAGCTAAAGTGGTGCTTCAGGTTAAGAACAGTTTCAAGTTAAGAACGGACCTCCAGAACAAATTCAGTTCTTAACCTGAGGTACCACTGTACGCACCTTTGCATAACTGAACAAGAGTGCAGATGTGGTTGCGATCAAGGGGTGCGATAGATTATGGAGTGTAAATGCAGGAAAGGACTCAAGACTGGATTCCCAAGATCACCTGACTCCTCAAACCAGGAAGGTTGTTATCTATGGGAGGGACAGGCTGCATGGTGCCTGCTACAACTCCCATCATCCCTGGCTGGGGGCTGATGGGAGTTGGAGTCCAACACCACCACATGGAGAACACCATCTGGGCTTCTATTGGTCTTGTTTCCTCCTAGGGCCTGGACTGACTCCAGCTGCAAAAGCTGAGGCTGCCAAACAGATTACAGTCATACCTCGGGTTACAGATGCTTCAGGTTGCACGTTTTCGGATTACGGACGCGCCGAAACCCGGAAGTATCGGAACGGGTTACTTCCGGGTTTTGGCGATCGCGCATGCGCAGAAGCATCGAATCGCAACCTGCGCATCCGCAGACACGGCGCTGCGGGTTGCGAACGTGCCTCCTGCACGGATCACGTTCACAACCCGAGCGTCCACTGTATTGCTTCGGGGAAGTTGTTGCAGGAAGTTTTTGCATCTTTCTTTTGGATCTCAAAATTTATGTGGCGATCGTGTAAGCAGGCTGTGTACCTTTTGATGCTTTGTTTATCGGTCATGACTACTTTTGCTCTGTGTGTAGCTATGTGGTTTTATATATATATATATATGTTGTAAGCTGCGCCTTGAGCATGGTTTGAACTTTGGAAAGGCAGCATGCAGATAAAATGATTGATTGATATTGCTTTAAATGTGTGTTGTGAATGTGGTCCAGATCTGACCCAGCACACCTGGTCTTATCCAAGGACAAGGCTTCCCCCAAGGCTTCCCCCCCAAAAATATCGCAGATCAGGCTTACCAAGCTTTTGGATCATGGCCGCTATCACTTCATCTTCTTCAATTTCCCTGAGGAAGGAAAGACAGACAGTTGAAAAGGGGAGGAGAGAGCAAATGCACTCCAGATGTTTCAGCAGCTTGAACGCTATGGAGAACAGAGCACTGAACTATGCAACTTAGATAGATGAGGACTCTTGGCTTCATAAAGGTCAGGAATGACCCTTGGCTCAGCTCAGCCAAGCCAGACCCTACGTTTCAAAGGAGCAGGGCACATTCTACTATTTCAGCTCCTTCCCTCTCCCCTGTTTCTATCAAGAAAGCCATCTCCTCAAAAAACTAATCAAGGAGGCAGGAGGCAAAGAAAAGTCAGGAGGTTGTTTACCGCCTCTCTGCATGATTCCCTACAGCAGACATGCCTCTTTCCAATCAACTGTTGCTGGGATTGGCTAATTCTGCCATGTCTCTGTGGCGCAAATCATCAGATCATTCTTCTATCGGAGGCACAGGATGATTTGTTTCCCAGAGGAGGCTGCCCGTTGTCGTCCTGCAGGAGTTCCTGTTCTGCTCATTCGTCCAAAGAGGCGAGCAGAGACTCAAGCAGAGACCCAGCAGGGACCCTTGCCTCCTCCCTGACACTCATTTGCAAGTCTTTTTCAATTGAAGCAAGCCCTTCGGTTTAACTCAGCAAAGTTTTGATTTGGGTCACAGAAAGTTTTTTTTTGGGGGGGTTGGGGGGGCAGGGGAGAGAAATACCAGGCTGGCAACGTAGCCTCTTCCCCACCTGCCTAGTCAGCAAATTCTTTCGGAGCTTGGGGCGAAAAGACCTGGACCGACAAGGAAACAGCGGCCAGAAACTAAGACGGTTCCTAATTACTCCAAAAGGCTTGCCAAGGAGCCGGACCCTATGAACCTCGATTGGCAGAAGAAGCAAGTAAAGACCCACCGTGGGAGCTTGTTGGCCGTTCTCAGAAAATGCTGAGGCCAAGAGGGCTTCCTCAACGCAGGGCCCTCTATTAAGAAGTCCTGCCTCCTTTTCCTGAAGGGGCTTCCTCTTGAGAAACAGGAAAAGGCAGGGAGGCAAAAATGGAAAGAAGAGGCAGGCAGCCCAACTCTGCAGCCTGTTCCACTCCTACACAGGGAAGGGAGGAACCGACAGAGCCCTGAAGCGCCAAGACTGGAGAGGATGGGAGGGGTCCGAGTTCAGCAGCAGAGCATCACCTTCGCATGTCAAAGGCCCCGAGTTCAGTTCCTGCCTTCTCACACGTGGGGAGGCATCTCCCTTACAGCTGCGAGACTCCTTGCACTGAGTCTTGGGGCCATATCTAACTCAGTTCTGTCTTCACTGACTGGCAGTGCCCCTCCAGGGGTCTTCTTCTACAACTAATCCAGAATGCGGCAGCTAGACTGGTGACTGGGGGCGGCTGCCGAGACCACATAACACCAATCTTGAAAGACCTACACTGGCTCCCAGTATGTTTCCGAGCACAATTCAAAGTGTTGGTGCTGACCTTTAAAGCCCTAAACGGCCTTGGCCCAGTAGACCTGAAGGACCCTCCACCCCCAGTATACCTGAAAGACCCTCCACCCCCATCGTTCTGCCCAGACGCTGAGGTCCAGTACCAAGGGCCTTCTGGTGGTTCCCTCACTGCGAGAAGCAAAGCTACAGGGAACCAGGCAGAGGGCCTTCTCGGTAGTGGCCCCCGCCCTGTGGAATGCCCTCCCACCAGATGTCAAAGCGATAAACAACCACCTGACATTCAGAAGACATCTTAAGGCAGCCCTGTTCAGGGAAGATTTTAATGTGTGACATTTTAGTGTATTTTTGGTCTCTGTGGAAGCCGCCCAGAGTGGCTGGGGAAACCCAGCCAGATGGGCGGGGTACAAATAAATTATTATTATTATTATTATTATTATTATTATTATTATTATTCCACTGCCTCACCTGTCCTTAAGGTCAACAACTTTTCTGTGCCAATAAAAGTCGGTTTTTGCAGCTGGCACAGATTATGCAAACCATTCGTCTGTCGTGATTTCAACCCAACACCATGCATCTACTTGCTCTCTTTGCATATGGTTAGGTTGCAGAACACGCACGACCCTGCGCCGATCACTGTGATTCCCGTTCTCTAATTTTTTAAGGCCATTGCCCTGATCAGGATCCTGAATCTTCCCAGGAGCAGGAGGGCAGTATAGATTTGGAACAGTGGCTTGCAGAGGGACGTGGTTCAGAAGGCAGAAGCTGGGGCCCTACTGGAACAGCTACATGAGAAGACGGACTTGATGACTGCTGCGATCAGAAATTTTGGACAGGTAGTGGGAAACTATATAGAGCCCACCCAGGAATCAAATCAGGAGTGTGCTCTGACAGATCAGATGAAGGAAGAGGATGTTGCTGAACCTCGGGCGCCAGAGATGGAGGGAGCTGTGGCTCAGCAGGAACATGAGCTCTTGGATCTGACAAATGAACTTGGAAAAAGCCAGATTTGGAAAGATAAAGTTTGGTTTGGTTTGGAAATGGGGGGTTGGATAGACCCCCCTATGCAGGGATGTTTGGACTTTTCAAGTCTGGCAATGGGCCGTGAGATGTTTGGGGTTGTGGGGGCTCTTAATTCTGGAGGGACTTTGAAACATGTTTTTAAATACCACATGGAGTTTAGTGTGGAATATGGAAAAGGGACTGATTTGTTGAGAAGGGTCAAAAACACTGTCAAGTTGGGAGTTCCCACGAGTGAAAGGAGCAGGAGACAAAGTAAAGTACAGGTATAAATATGAAGAAGAGCCGCGGAAGGGACATGGAAGAGACTTAAGGGCCTCGGACATAAGATTACCAGGTTAATGCGCTAGATTGATAGGATAGAAAGGACTGACAAAACCCGGGACCAGGAGGAAGAGACGCTGGATGAAGATTGGAAGGGGGAAAAAATTTATTAGGATTGCTTTATAAAATTGATGAATGTTAGAAAAATGTTGGAACAAAATTATCTGGCTTTAGCAAAAATGTTAAAAGAATTATGTAAGAATATGTTATGGTTATGAGAAATTGGTATAAATAAGATCTAAGTTTTAAGTTTTAGGGTCTTTTATAGTAAGATAAGGTTAAAATAGATTAAGGTAATGTAATGACAGAATATTATGAAAAATGGAAAGGATTTGCTGTGACAATTAACAACTAGGATACAAAAAAAGGGAGGAGTGAGGAGGTCAAAGAAAGAAGGTAATGACAGTCAAGGATTTGAGAATATTGGACTTGTTTTTTTAAATGTTTGTGGCTTATTTTTGTTTTTTGATTGTGTTGTGCTACGTGCTTTGTTCTTATTTTTTTTATTTTGATTTTTATCAATTTGTATTGTTTGATTGCGGTTTGTTTTTCTTCTGTTTTTTCTTTTTCTTTTTTGTTTTTTCTGTAACTTTAAAATTCTTAATAAATATCATTTAAAAAAAACAGAAGGCAGAAGCTGGGAAATACTGGATGGGGAACAGCTAGGAGAAGAGACACTGGAAGAGAGAGGCTTAACAGATTCACTGTCTCTGGAAAGCATTCATCCACTCTCCCCAAGGTCAAGAAGGGCTGAGACAGTGGCAGAACAGAAAGCAGAGGGGACAAACAAGATGTAGGAGTGACGTAGATTAAGGGGGTGTAATCCTTAACTGGGAGCACCGCCATTCTAGGAGATGGGTCCTTTGTTCTCTCGCTATGATCATTAAAGGTTCTAACTGGTTAGAAGACTCCTTTTGTTCTGCTTATCTGCTGCTGGGTGGGCAGCAGGCAGGGAGAAAGCCGATTCCCTGAAGTCTGACAGTTGAACAACAACGGGTCCAGGACATAACCCTACAGTACCTCACTTGTCCTTTTTCTCCAGGATGGTGAGGGATAGGCAACAGAGTCAAGGCAATGCACAGCCACAGCCTTCTCCCCCACCCCCTGCCTGAAAGGCCTTTGCGCACCTGAGTCGGTCTTCATCCAGGTCCTCCACGATTTTATTCCGGTCGTTGACCGTGGCCACGTACAACGCCAGCAGCTCCTCCTCGCGGGCCTTCTCCCTGGGCGTCTTCGAGAACTCTGAGCAACAGGGGGAAGGGAAATGGGACATGCCATTACCATTAATTGGCTCACGAAACATTCACACAGCTGTAAGTGGGGCAGTGGCAGTGGCAGTGGTTGGGGGGAGGTGGCTGGCAGGGCTTGCCAAGAGGGAAGGCATGCAAAAGTCCGTCCCCGTGTCCTGGATTCGAGTGGCGACAGTGATGGCAGGAGAACGGAAAAGAAAACTGAAAGGACAAATGTGTCTTCCATTGGAGGAGTGGCGAAAGAACAGAATGAGATGAAGTCGGGAAGGAATGGAGGAAGACATGGGAGTACAGAGGAAGCCGCAGATGGTCTTGCCCCTTATTCACCCAGTAGATCTCTACCATGAGTATCCGCTTGTTAAGAGTTCCAGTCATATTTTAAATGCATTTGCTGCTGCCGTGTTTTGAACTTTAATTGTTTTTTACCTTATGTGTAAATCGCCTTGAGGTGCTGCTTTAGAAGGAAGTTAATAAATTAGTTGTAATAAATAATAATTTTATAATAAATTTATCACCTGTCCTTGACCCCAAGGTCCCAAGACATTACAACATGGGTAGGCAAACTAAGGCCTGGGGGCCGGATCCGGCCCAATCGCCTTCTAAATCCGGCCCACGGACAATCCGGGAATCAGCGTGTTTTTACATGAGTACAATGTGCCCTTTTATTTAAAATGCATCTCTGGGTTATTTGTGGGGGATAGGAATTCATTCATTTCCCCCCAAAAAATATAGTCCAGCCCCGCACAAGGTCTGAGGGACAGTGGAGCTGGTGTTCCTGGCAAAATGTGCAGGCAACTTGTAGCTTCCATGAGGGTTTGGTTTCCCTGCTCTCCATGTATGTATGTATCGCCTGAGTTCTGTGAGTGCAGCTTTCATGTTTGAGGACCAGGACATTCGCAGGGAAACCAAAATGCTTGCTTACAAAGCTATTGTACTACTAACCTTACTATATGCTTGAGAAACAGGGACCACTTATAAACGCTATCTCCAACTCCTCAAAAGATTCCATCAATGGTGTGTCCGAGAAATCTTACATATCACTTGGGAAGACAGGTGAACTAATGCCACCAGTGTTGAAGCAATCATTCTTCAACATCAACTTCGTTGGACTGGTCATGTTGTGTGGATGCCTGATGATCGTCTTCCAAAGCAACTACTCTATTCTGAACTTAAAAATGGAAAGCGTAATGCTGGTGGTCAACAAAAGAGGTTTAAAGACTGTCTCAAGGCAAATCTAAAAAAATGTAGAATGAATATTGACAGTTGGGAAAAACTGGCCTCCGAGCGCTCCAATTGGAGAACAGCCTTTACCAAAGGTGTTGTGGACTTTGAAGACACTCAAACTCAGAACGCAAGGGAGAAATGTGCTAAGAGGAAGGCACATTTGGCAAACCCTCACCGTGATCAACTCCCGCACGGAAACCTATGTCTCCACTGTGGAAGGACGTGTGGATCCAGAATTGGCCTCCACAGTCACTTACGGACTCATTGTTAAGATTGTGTTCATGGAAGACAATCTTACTTGGCCACGAGTGATCGCCAAAGAAGAAGAAGATGTATGTATGTATGTATGTATGTATGTATGTATTTTTCACCTGCACAAAGTGAAAGCAACACAAGACATGAGTCACCTGTACTGGATCAGAGCAAAGGGAAAGGGGAGGGGAAAACACTTTCTTAAAAAAGAGTCTCTAGAGAAAGGCGGAGGACCCACCAGATTTGCTCATGAGGCTCCTTAGCTCGCTCTCAATGTCCCACTGCTTTTCCTCCAGCTTCTGTTGGTTCATCCTGTCGGTTTCCAAAGAAAGGAGGGGGAAGAAGGTTAGCGAGAAATGATATCAGCATCAAAACAACCTGGCCATGATCAGGAAATTTTGCCCATGGTATGACTATTTTCCACCTTCCCATTTTGACCCTCTGGCACCCTATCTGCATAACCTGGCAATTCAAAAATATAGACACACTTTTACAATCGCAAAATTGAATGTACTGCCCTCGGCTGTACTTGAGGGACGATTCCAACAGCTCTTTACACTTCTTTTTGTGCTTTCCATTGTATGGTTTTGAATGTGCAATTGTTCTAAGCCACTCTGATCCTTCTTGTTTTCATTTTTTATTTTTTATTAGTGAAGAGCGGTATGTGAATACGGTTATAAACACATCAATAATCTGCCAGATTTGAAAAATCCAGCAGAGGGAAGGATATCAGCTGACAGGCTGAATACCATCTTTGCAGCCACTTTCCCATCACACACACATACCCCGCCCCTGCTGAGAAATGGGCAAACTTTTCCAGACCTTAGCTGTGATCCTGCTTTGCAGGGGGCTGGACTGGATGAGCCTGTTAGAATTCCTGCTCCATGATTGCAGTCATGGGATTGTTGTCTATCACATGACGGTGTATATTTTGACTCCACAGAGTGGGAAGTGATGGAGACAGGATGTTTGTGTTACTGTGTTCCGTGAAGTGGGACTATTGTCCTTTGTTCATTTTCTCTTTGCTGTCTGATGCTAGAGAGAGAGGGAGCCATGTTACAGTGCTCAGTGTGTGTTTATATGTAAATAAAGTAGATTAGCCAAAATGCTGAGTTGCTGAGGTCTGTCACACAAGTTGCACAAACTCTGCCGGTCCCTAAGTGTGTCGGTGTCTGTTGGCATCGGCCGCTGTGATGTTTGGGCAGAAGAAAGCTTATGAAGCTCCTGAACGATCGACCAGAAGGGAGGGAACATGCCAGTTGGGCATGTGTCTCTGCCAGGGTCCTACTTGAGGACCTCTACGATTCTGCAATTCTCCGGTTTCACTTACTTGTGCATCAGCTCAGACTCCCGCCGCAGCAGCAGCTGCTTCTCATGGATCAGCTTGAACCATTCTACCATCAAGGCATCCTCGCTGTCATCTGCAGACGCAAGACCAAAGAAACCTCTGAGCTCTTCGCTTCGGAGGCTGCCAGAGGTTTGATAAACTCTGGCTTCCGGGAATATAGAAATCTTAGAGCCAATTGGGGCTTGAATGGGGGACATCTCAGACCCCGCCAAACAAACCATGGGCAGCATCCCGAAGGAAAAGCTTCAACATTTCATATACAGTGGTGCCTTGGTTCTCAAACTTAATCCGTTCTGCAAGTCCGTTCCAAAACCAAAGCGTTCCCAAACCAAGGCACGCTTTCCCATGGAGAGCAATGCAAAACAGATTAATCCATTCCAGACTTTTAAAAACAATCCCAAAAACAGCAATTTAACATGAATTTTACTATCTAACGAGACCATTGATCCATACAACGAAAGCAATAAACTTTTGTACAGCAGTCACACAATCAATCAATCAGTAGCTGAACTGGGTTCCACACAGTCACACACACAGACAAAAAGCCACAAAACCCAAATACAGTGGTGCCTCGCAAGACGAAATAAATTCGTTCTGCGAGTTTTTTCGTCTTGCGAATTTTTCGTCTTGCGAAGCACGGTTTCCCAAAGTCTTCAAAATCACCAAAGTCTTCAAAAACCTCAAAAAAGGCTACCACACCGCGTGCTATGAGTTGCTCCTTGAAGTCACCCTGGGTATTAACGGTTTTAAGAAAAAGGAAACAAACTTGCAAGACGTTTTCGCTTTTTTCGTTTTTCGTCTTGCGAAGCAAGCCCATAGGGAAATTCGTCTTGCGAAGCAACTCAAAAAACGAAAAACTCTTTCGTCTTGCGAGTTTTTCGTCTTGCGAGTTTTTCGTCTTGCGAGGTACCACTGTAAATAGCAAAAACAGACAGACACTCAAAACGGAAGTGTGGCACTCAAATCAGAAGCGTAACACTCAAAACTGAGTTGTTTGAGTACCAAGGCATTTGAGAACCAAGGTACCACTGTATCCCATACTAAGAATAACTAATCCCACAGTGGGGGACTGCAGTCGCCTCTCCGCCCCAAAGACACCTGGGCCCGCCTCACCTCCCTCGCAGTTCCTCAGCTGCTTCTCCATCTCTACCCCTTTGAGCTCCAGCTTGTCCAAATCCTTTTCGATCTGCCGGACTTCCTTCTGGATTTCCTCCTCAGGGATATAGTCTGGGTGGCGCTGAAATGAAAAAAAAACAGCCGAACTTTATCCTGCACGTCATACAACAATATAATCCTTACCGTTAAGGAGGGACCTCGGAGCAGAATCATCCGGTTCTCTTCCTCCACGTTATCCTCACAGAATTGCAGAACTGTAAGGGACCCCCAAGGGAAATCTAGACCAACCCCACTGCAAGAATCATAGCTCAAGAATCCCTGGCAGTTGGCCGCCTGTCCTGTGCTCGAAAACCTCCAGTAAAGGAGAGTCTGCCACCTTCTGTTCCGCACAACGTCCCTGTGAGGCACGTCGGGCTGAGAAACGGTACCGACGAAAGAAGAATGGCTGACAAAATTAATGGACTACACAGAATTGGATAAAATGACAGGAAGGATTTGAAACCTGCGGGACCAGAGATTTGCAAAAGATTGGAAGAAATATACGAACTGTTTGAAGAGCAACTACAATCAACGAATTACGCTAGTAGGACTACAAGAAGTTTTGTAAGGAGAAATATATGAAATATTGCAAAGAGAGACATTAGTTATGATATTTAAATGTAATAGTGAAAGTAAGAAATGTAAATTAAGTGAAAAGATTGGAAAATTTTCAGATGTGATTGATGGAAGTAAAAAAAAATTTATAAGATATAAAAGTATGTTTAATAATTGTTGAAAATGATACGTTAAAAAACTAATTACCGTATTTTTCGCCCTATAGGGCGCACTGGCCCATAGGGTGCACCTAGTTTTGGGGGGGGGAAATAAAGAAAAAAAAATTATTTTCCCCCCAGGCGCGGGGCTGGGGAAGCCTGAGCTTTCCCCGACCCCAGCCCCCAGAACAGGCTGCTATCCGCAAGCCTGGGGAGACCGGTGGGAACTCCTGCCGGTCTCCCCAGGCTTGCAGATATCTGCCCGAAGCCTGGGGCGTGCTCCGCTGTGCTCCCCGGGTTTCGGGCTGCAGGCTGCTGTCCGCAAGCCTTGGGAGCCCGGCGCGACTTCCCGCCGGGCTCCCACGGCTTGCAGAAAGCTTCCTGAAGCCTGGAGAGCAAGAGGGGTCGGTGCGCACTGACCCCTCTCGCTCTCCAGGCTTTAGCGAAAGCCTGTGTTCGCCCCATAGGACGCACAGACATTTCCCCTTCATTTTTGGAGGGGAAAAAGTGCGTCCTATAGGGCGAGAAATACGGTATGTATATATATATGGGGGGGGGACCAGAATATTGGCCCACACCAATGGCCTTGAGCAAATCTGAGCCTCTTCACCCCTAACATCAGAGATGGGATGCCTGCAGAAGACCTGCTGGTAGACTCCATCACCCATGACCGCTGGCCATGCCGGCAGGTGCAGATGGGATTCGGAGTCCCACTGCTCCTGGATGAGGGCTAGAGGCCTCCCCATCCCTGCACAAAACTGCCTTTCTTCACTCCTGGCTGTACCTTTGAGGGAGACACCGCTTGACCGGTCGGAGACTTCTGGAGGACTCTAGGAGGAGACGGCCTCACTGGGAAGAGAGGAAAAAGGAAAGCCTCTTAGATGAACGGGCAGCACCACCCAGTTCATGTCTACTCAGAAGCAAGCCCCACCATGTTCGATAGGTCTTGCTCCCAGGTAAGGAAATGCAGAACTGCAGGGCTGTAAAATGGTGCCTTGGTTCTCAAACTTAATCCGTTCCGCAAGTCCGTTCCAAAACCAAAGCGTTCCAAAACCAAGGTGCGCTTGGTAATGCAAAACGGATGAATCTGTTCCAGACTTTTAAAAACAACCCCTAAAACAGCAATTTACTATGAATTTTATTATGAATTTTTAAAAATTCTTCCCTGCACTGATGATAGTCATTGTTTGGATGGTGGACTTTTATCCATTTCCGCAGTCACACAATCAATCCATCAGTAGCTGAATTGGGTTCCACACGGTCACAAAAATAAATGAACCAAAAAAGCCTCAAAAACGCAAAATAAATAGCAAAAACAAAAGCACCAAACTTAATCTGTTCCGGAAGTCCATTTGACTTCTGAAATGTTTGAAAACCAAGGTGCAGCTTCTGGTTGGTCCAGGTGCCCCGGAAACAATAGCTGACAGCCGCATCAGACGTTTGGCTTCCGAAAAATGTTCGAAAACCGTAACTTCCGGGTTTTCGGCGTTTGAGAACCAAGGCACCTCTGTATCTCAGTTAGCATGCAGAGGGTCCAATCTTTGGAGTTTCTTGGTAAGGCTGGGAAAGACTCCACTGGCCCCAAGTGTCAGTTTGCATTTCTTAGTACAGAAAGTATTGATCTGATGTGTAGAGGTCTTTCCTATTCTACTTAATTCAAAAGGCTTCTGGAAGCTGCTCTGTGTGAAAGAAGCAAGCAGAAGGTTCCTGATGTTTGGGTTATTCCTTCAGAGAAGCTGAGTACAGCTGGCTTAAACTGGTTATCTCTTTCTGTCAAGGTCATGCTGACTATAAAATTCAGGCCAGAACGAGCCTCGGTTTCACTTTCGATCTCTCGCTTTTTTCCTTCTGGTGTGGTGTTCTGTATATAGTGTTAAGGTTTAGACTTATTATAAGTTATTGTAAGTTTATGTTATGTCTGGATTTCTTATGGACAATGCCAGTCCTGAATGTATTGGATTTGTGACTATTATGCTCATTTGCCTTTAGTAGCAGTAAAGCTCTTCTGGATGAAGTATTAATATTAATAACAATAATAATTTTATTATTTGTACCCCACCCATCTGGCTGGGTTTCCCCAGCCACTCTGGGCAGCTCCCAACAGAAAACTAAAAACAGAATAAAACTTCAAACATTAAAAACTTCTTTAAATTGCCTCTGATCTATTTTTGGGGAATCCTGCAACGTGTTAAAGTGGTTTCTCTGCTAACTATACATTGAAATCTATTCTGGATCAATATTGAGTAGAATTCCATGACACCAAGGGCCATATAAAGGAGTCCTGGAGACAACATTTGGCCCGCAGGTCAGAAGTTCTCCACGGCGAGGCTAAACCGTGGCTTAGCATGACACATAAGCCAGTCCAGTGAGGAGGCAGAAACCTACCGGGCGCAATGGCCTTCCTGGAGGGGCTCAGCCCCTCGGCCTTTTTGGTTGTGGCAATATCCTCCCACTGCTGCTTGGGGGACCTCCAGCCACTGGAAATATCCGCGGGAGGCACCAGCAGTTTTTTCTTTGGCAGCTGATCAACTGGTGAAGCTGCAATGAAAAAATGTATACAGTCGTACCTCCGCTTACGTATCCCTCCGGTAAACTTCGGGATACGTGAGCGGCAAACCCGGAAGTACCGTATTTTTTGCTCCATAAGATGCACCTGACCATAACACGCACCTAGTTTTTAGAGGAAGAAAACAAGAAAAAAATATTCTGAACAAAACAGTGGATGTATGATTTTTGTGGTTCATGTTGTGGCCACAGACATGTGATTTGACAGTGAGTTTGGGGTAGCCCAATGCAAAAATCCTGAGAATCCATGTGGATCCGTGCTTTGTAACCATGTTTTTGCACCATTGCGGCCCCAGGCAACAGTGGGTGCGTGATTTTTTTTTGGTGCAGGTTGTAGCCATGGACATGCTATGTGATCTGATGGTGAATTTGGGGTGACCCAATGCAAAAATCCTGAGGATCCATGGGCTTTTACCTCCCCCGTCCCAGGCAGCCTCCTTTATCGCTAGAGTTCCTTATCTCCCTCCCGATCGCTTGCCGATCAGCTGCTCAGCGGCTTTGTTTCAACAATCCTTCCCTCTTTCTTAAAAAAAAAAAAGCACAATCTGCTTTTCATCCCTGGGCAATTCGGCTCCAGGGAACACGCATTCGCTCCATAAGACACACAGACATTTCCCCTTACTTTTTAGGAGGAAAAATGTGTGTCTTATGGAACAAAAAAATACGGTATATTTTCGGGGTTTTGCCGTACACTCATGCGCAGGAGCGGTAGACTTGCAGGAAACGGGCTCCTCCGAAGACATCTTGAAAAACCGTTTGCTCAATGAGTTTTTCAAGCTTGCTTCCCGTGTGGAAATCCCACCTCCTAAAAAAACTTGCCCATTTGCCCGTCCAACCTAAGGGTTACATATTTTGAGGAACTCAAATGCCACGCTTCAAAAGCTCTCTCAGGGTGACTTCCAAAAGTTAAGAACACAACAGAATTAAAACAAATAGACAAGCATAACATGGGTTGTTGTTTTTTCTTTAAAAATAACTATCCCAAAACCGGGGGGGCGGGGGGGGGGAACATGAAGGAAGAAAAACAGGCACAACACAGCTTAATCCTGCCAAGAGGGACCTCTGAGACCCAGACCACACAAATTCTCCACTATGCACAAACTGATAGTACTCAAGGCTACTGCGGCAAACCAGTTCTTCCATCTTTTATGAAGCTGAATGTCTAATATATGGAGCTGATCAATTTAAGCATCCTTAGATGCTGCTGGTTGGCTGGTCCAATATTTCTAAGTGTAGCGTTCTGTCTAGCGGTTGACTGGTGAGCTATGAAATTGCTTCAGATGAAAGAAAATGCTTATTCGTGCAGTGTATTGTTAAACTGTGGAACTCCCTGCCACTAACTGGGATGGCTTTGAAAGAGGATTAGGCAAATGCACGGAGGAGCTTGTTATCCGTGGCTACTGGCTAGGAGAATACCAGCTGCTGGACACCACAGGAGGAGAAAGGGCTCTTGTGTTCGAATCTTGCTTGAGGGTTTTCTGTAGACACTGGGTTGGCCACTGTGAGAACAAGATGGCAGACCAGATGGGCCATTGGCCTGATCCAGTAAGTTCTCCTTATGTTCTTAAATCTGCATTAGCACAAAGTGCCCAGGGACACATTTGGGGGGGGGGATCTGGGCTTTCTACAGGGACAAACCCCCCATTTTTAGGTTTTTCGACAGCCTCAATGAGGACTGGATACTTGCTAAGGCGGTTCAAATCACAGTTTCTATGCCGAATTCTATACAAACTGCCCTGCTGCTGCACTTATTGCCTTTACAATGCTATCATACCAGTTTCCTGATTCGACGGGGAGGTTGTTGAATGAGCTGGTTTTTTGTCTTTCTGCCCTGGACTCGGAGTTATGTCAACAGCTGCCTTGTGAACATCTGCAGGCTTGTGAGCGGTTCTGGGGTCACCGCCAGGGACTCTGCAAAAGGAGGGAAGCAAGCATTGAGAGAAGGAGCCCAAAGTCCTCTAAACCCAACAACCCTAAAAGGGCTTTTAACAGAGCTGTTTATATCCTGCGCTAGACAAATAATGCAAACCCTGTTCTAATACAAACCAACTTTCCATGTGCTGCCATCTGCCTTATTGCAGGGCAGATTCGAGGGTAAGCCATACGTGGAACCAGTCTGCCCCTGCGGCTTGATGGAGGTAGAAATTGTCTCTCATGTCTTGTTACGCTGCCATTTCTAAGGAGATATACGCTTGGTATTTATCACTCCTGTTATACAAAAATCTCCAAATGGTTCCGAATTTCAATGTCTAAAACTCCTGGACAAGGATCTAGAGATCACGTTAAGGGTGGCCAAATTCTGTGCGACTGCCATAAAACTTAGGGAACAAGCTGATTAAGGTTTTAAATGACAATTTTAGGTTATATTTTAGTGATGAAGATTTAATATATATTTTTAACTGCCGCTATATCTGTATTGTCTCTGTTATAGCAATTGCAATTCAATGCATTCCTGTTGTGTTTCATGATTTTCCTGATAGTGTAAGTGAGCCAGAACTGGTCTGTGACCGTAATAATAAAATTCATTCATTCAACCAACTTTCCATGCCAATAAAAGCAGAATTTTACCAATGCAATTTACGCAGACTAAGTCGTGCATACATTTCCTCAATTTTCACAATTTATTCCGCGGGACATTGAAGCTCCAAACCTGATTGCTGGAATATTCCATCCTGGTTGCTCGACCAATTGTTTTGCCATATATTGCCTATGGCACACTTTTGTTGTGTGTGTCCACAAACACAACCTTATGTTCTCCACCCAACCGAAATCCCCTCTTCTCCTGCCCTACTCACCTGTTTGCCACCGGCTTCAGCAGAGATCTCCAGTCCGCTGGCATTTCTGATTTCTCTTCCGCAACGCTTGCAGCTCCCACTGGAGAAAGAATTCATCCACGAATGAGACTATAAGAAGGCAGCTATAATATGGTTACCAGATTTTTTTCAATGAATCTGAGCAGCAACAGGGAGTCAGTAGTGGGGATGGTGAGGCCCTCGTATCTACGGGACCGCCTCTCCTGGTATGCCCCGCAGAGGACTTTGAGGTCCATGAATAACCATAGTTTAGAGGTCCCGGGCACAAGGAAGTCAGACTATCCTCCACCAGGGCCAGGGCCTTCTCAGTGATGGCTCCGACCTGGTGGAATGCTCTGTCCCATGAAACCAGGGCCCTTCAGGATTTAACCTCCTTCCGTCGGGCATGTGAGACAGAGCTATTCCGCCTGGCCCTTAATTTGAATTCAGCCTGATCTTTTATTTCCCTTCTCTTCCTTCCCCCTCCCCTTTTATGAAGATTACCCGCTCTGAGACCCCACAGCTAATTCTCCCCTGACCTCCTCACTGGCCCAAGTAGGACCAATTCAGCCAGCTAGCCCTGGGGATTATCTAATTGATTTTTGAATTTTATTGTTATTCATGTTTTTATACTGTATTTTATGCTACTTTTATAATTCAGTGTTTTAAAGTGTTTTAAATTTGTTGTTAGCCGCCCTGAGCCCAGTTTTTAACCGGGAAGGGCGGGGTATAAATAAAAATTTATTATTTATTATAAAAGACCCTGGGCCCAAGCACACGTGCATATTGTATAAAGGTGCAAAGCCCTTCTTTCGCACCCTGTGAAACATAAATGCACAGGTTTTTTAAAAAACTGGGCAACGGCGTGCCACCGCCCATGACTCCCGAGTCTTCCCCAATCTCCTTCCCCCTTCCCCCTTTGTTTTGACAGATCAGGGAAAGCTTGGGAGTCACGGACGGGCAGCCTTTGCCCAGGAGGGGCCAGCCTGGTAGTGCAGTTGGCTCTAGCTGGCTTCAGGAGCTGCTTGCTGCCGTGGCACAGGAAGAATGGCGGGCGCCAGAGCAGTGAGCAGCTCCTGAAGCCAGCCAGAGCCAACTGCGCTACCAGGCTGGCTCCAGGCTGCTGAGGCTGCCGCTGCCACATTTGCAAATCTGGGGACGGAATTTGTCTGGGGACAGATTTGCAAATCCGGGGACATTCTGGGGACGGAATTTGTCCGGGGACAGATTTGCAAATCTGGGGACATTCTGGGGATGGAATTTGTCCGGGGACAGATTTGCAAATCCGGGAACTATCCCCGGGGACGTCTGGTAACCCTAAGCTATAAACCTTTTACACAGAACCCTCCATGCGAATCAGCACAGGCAGAATAGAATAAAAAGATTCCTTCCGGTAGCACCTTAGGAGACCAACTAAGTTTGTTATTGGTATGAGCTTTCGTGTGCATGCACACTTCTTCAGATACACTTCTAAGTGCACACGAAAGCTCATCCCAATAACAAACTTAACAAACTTAGTTGGTCTCTAAGGTGCTACTGGAAGGAATCTTTTTATTTTGTTTCAACTATGGCAGACCAGCACAGCTACCGACCTGTAACTAGGCAAAGCAGAGTATGCAAGTTAAGGGCAGCGTTCACACAAACCTGTTCAGTTCCGTGCTATATTTGAGCTTCAACAAAACATAAATTGCCACCCAGAAAACTAACAGAATATAGTGCGTGTAATTAATTTTGTGAGTGTGTGGAACCCAGTTCAGCTACTGATTGATTGTGTGACTGCAGTACATTGTTTATTGCTTTCATTTTATGGATCAATGGTCTTGTTGGATAGTAAAATTCATGTTAAATTGCTGTTTTAGGGGTTGTTTTTAAAAGTCTGGAACGGATTAATCCATTTTGCATTACTTACTATGGGAAAGCGTGCCTTGGTTTTGGAACGGACTTCCAGAACGGATTAAGTCTGAGAACCAAAGTACCACTGTACTCTTAATCTCAGGGTTATGAGTTCAAGACCCATGTTGGGCAAAACAGTCCTGCATTGCAGGGGGCTGGACTAGATGACCCATGTGGTCCCTTCCAATTCTACAATTCAGTGATTCAATTATTCAACCTGTTCCGCATTGGTAAGAAGTCTCATTTAGTGTGGCAGCATCTACACTGTGGAACTCCCTGCCTGTTGACCTCAAGCAGGTGCCTTCACTGTATTCTTTTAAGCACCTGCTAAAAGCATTCTTATTTAAGCAAGCTTACCAGGATGCTTAGAAAGGCTGGTGAGAATTTCAATAATCTTTTAGTTTGTTGACGTTTTGTACGTTTTAAAGTATTGTTGTAAATGTTTCTCAGCTTCATTGCTTTATCTTTTTTCCTGAACTGCTTTGAGGTTGGTTAGTTGGTTTACAATCAAGCGATGTATGAATTTCATGAAATGAATAAATAAAGGAACAAAAAGGCGATGCAATGAGTAAATAAAGCAAGGGCCACTTTTTACCTTTGGAGACCTTAACGTCCAGTTTATGCCTAGAATCAGCAGCAGGTCTGCTGGGGGGCTGATCTTTGAGCCTGCTCTGGGGGGCCACCCCAACGCCCGCTTTGCCACCCAGATCCTTGGGCGAACGTTCAAGGGCGGGTGAAAGCGCCCGGGGTCCTTTCCGTGGATCTTCCGTGGCAGCTGGCATGCTGACAGGCCTGGAAGGCTTCCAGTCTGAGATGCTTTTCGTCTCGATATGCTGTGTGCCAGAGGTGGCTGGAGATGGCTTGCTGCTATGGGCAAGAGGAGGAGATTAGCCCTTTGGCCAGTGGGATGGACAACGGACAACATCCAGCTGACCACCAACCCCTCCCAGGGCTAATAATAATAATAATAATAATAATAATAATAATAATTTATTACTTATACCCCGCCCATTTGGCTGGGTTTCCCCAACCACTCTGGGCGGCTTCCAGCAAAAGATTAAAAATACATTAAAACACCAGTCATTAAAAACTTCCCTAAACAGGGCTGCTTTCAGATGTCTTCTAAACAGTTTTTATCCAAATGCGATTTTGGTTTTAAACACAGTGTAAGGTAGTCTCTGTGTGAGTATATTGTATTTAATTATGGGGTATCAGAGTTTTTAGGGGGGTTAACCAGGCTGGGATAGCAGGCTTGTTGGTTTTTGAATGTCTAATGTAGATTTTTTCAATTTCATTGTTCTATATGGGACAACGACAATAAAGATGATCGTATTGTATCGTAAGCGTTAGATAGTTGTTTATATCCCTGACATCTGATGGGAGAGCGTTCCACAGGGCAGGGGCCACTACCGAGAAGGCCCCCTGCCTGGTTCCTTGTAACTTGACTTCTCGCAGGGAGGGAACCGCCAGAAGGCTCTCAGAGCTGGACATCAGTGTCCTGGCTGAACAATGGGAGTGGAGACACTCCTTCAGGTATACTGGGCCAAAGCCATTTAGGGCTTTAAAGGTCAGCAGCAACACTTTGAATTGTGCTCAGAAACGTACTAGGAGCCATTGTAGGTCTTTCAGGACTGGTGTTATGTGGTCTCGGTGGCCACTCCCAGTCACCAGTCTAGCTGCCCACTAAGTCCCATTGGGTAAGAACTTGTCTGGGAGGAAGCAAGATCTGTTTTTCTTAGGCAAAGTGGTACTCAAGAGGTATCAGAAGGAAATGTTTGAAAATTGATGAACGGCTACTATAGATAGATAGAAGAGGATTTACTCCACTCAACTATTTTGAGGACAGGTTATAACAATGTATAAAAGCCATAGCAGAAATTGGTGATGTGTAGGGAGGTGATGTGTAGGGAGAAGGGGATGGATGTATTTTGAAATGATAGTTGGAAAAGTTGTTTTATTGGGAGCTGTGGAGGGAGGAAAATAGAGGGGGTGGGTGGGAAGTCAGCTTTTAAATTTGAATTGAATTTGTATTAATTTGGTGACCATTTGTTAAAGATTATGGAAAATCAATAAAAATAATTGGCAAAAGAGAAAACAACTTGCATTCTTAAAATTTCCAGTGTGTACATTGCAAAGCTGAAACTTCCCTCCCAAATTTCCAAACCTAACCTGTGATTTATTTAGTTCTTTTTTAACATGAGGGAACGGATGCGGGTGGCGCTGTGGGTTAAACCACAGAGCCTAGGACTTGCCAATCAGAAGGTTGGTGCTTCAAATCCCCACGACGGGGTGAGCTCCCGTTGCTCGGTCCCTGCTCCTGCCAACCTAGCAGTTCGAAAGCACGTCAAAGTGCAAGTAGATAAATAGGTACCACTCTGGCAGGAAGGTAAATGGCGTTTCCGTGCGCTGCTCTGGTTCACCAGAAGCGGCTTAGTCATGCTGGCCACATGACCCGGAAGTTGTACACCGGCTCCCTCGGCCAATAAAGCAAGCTGAGCAACCCCAGAGTCGTCCGCGACTGGACCTAATGGTTAGGGGTCCCCTTACCTTACCTAACATGAGGGAAGTAGAGAAGACTGGAAATTTGTTCAAATTAAAATTTCTACAACCGCAGTAAAACATGCACGCATTTGCCTCGCTAGTGTACAGGATCCAAAATCACAGGTTGGCAGGAGCAGGGACCGAGCAACATGAGCTCACCCCGTCGTGGGGATTTGAAGCACCAACCTTCTGATTGGCAAGTCCTAGGCTCAGTGTTTTAACCCACAGCACGTTTTTCTAGTTGCATGTTAAAAACAGAAGGGGTTGGGGCTTGCAAGAGAATTGGCTGGTCGAGCCTCCCATTATCCAGTGTAGGCAACTAGAACCTCCATCCCAGGAGCAGTATACCTCCAAGCACAAAAGGACTGCAGAATTTACGGGTGGTTGTGACTTTTCTAGCACAGAGATGGGAACCTGCTGCCTGCTCAGGGGCGCCGAAGGAGGGACACTTACATGCTGGATGCCGTTGAGCTGGGCGAATCGCTGCCAAAGCCACTAGTCCTGTTGGAGGAAGGCTGGAGCCCCGGCAAAGCCTGCATCAGGACGTTCCGTGCTCTGTCCTTCTCACCAACATCCGGACCGGTCCCTGATGTGTGGGTGCCAGAAAAGGATGCTCTCCCGGAGACCCGAGGAGGGTTCAGAAGAGAACCTTGGTTTTTAACCGGCTCTGTTTTGCTCGGAGGAAGTCCCGAGCCCCCGGATCCGGCCTGGAAAAATTTCTCCCGAGCCTGCTGTGTTTTGGCGGACGATGGTGTCCAGCGCGGTGGGGAAGGAGAAGTGCTGGAGACGGTTAGAGAATCCGGTTTGTTCCCGGTAAGGTCTGACCAATGCGAACTTGAGCTTGAGGACGCAGAGCTGCCTTTGTAATTCCCAGGTGGCTCAGAAGCTGCTGATTTAACGGCACCGCTCATTTTCACGGACGGCGTCTTGGATTCGAGTCCCTTCAAGTAGTTCTGTGCAGCGGAGGCAGGAGCGGGAGGTTTATCCTCGCTGGGGAAAGCCCTCGTGCCGGAGGACAAGGAATCCCGGAGGGGCGTCGGTTGCTCGTGCCGGGTACAGACAAAAGTGCCGGCGTGGCTCCCAGCTTTGTAGTTTCCCGACTGCAGGGTGCTAGAGCACTCTTTGCACCTGGGGAGAAAAATGGCAGCAATACAATAACAAATATCTCCTGGCAGAAATAGAATGATCTTGTAAAACAACAAATAAAGAAGAATGGGAACCTTTTACAAAGTACAGTGTTACCTCGGGTTACAGACGCTTCAGGTTACATACGCTTCAGGTTACACATTCCGCTAACCCAGAAATAGTGCTTCAGGTTAAGAACTTTGCTTCAGGATGAGAACAGAAATCGCGTGGTGGTAGTGCGGCGGCAGCAGGAGGTCCCATTAGCTAAAGTGGTGCTTCAGGTTAAGAACAGTTTCAGGTTAAGAACGGACCTCCAGAACGAATTAAGTACTTAACCCGAGGTACCACTGTACTTAAAGAAACAACAAAATGAACTGGACTCCTTGGCAGGTTTGGAATAAACATACACAATTTTTTTACTGGTAACATATTGATAGATTCATTAAGGATCTTTACAATTTTATAATATGCAGAGAAGAATATGTGCTGAGAAACCAGAGGGAGGAGCTGAGGGAAGTCTGTGGGGGTGGGAGGGGTTTTTTTTCTTTTTGGGGGGAGGGGGAGGGGAAAATGGGGGGGAAATGAGGATGATGTATTTTTGATAAACTGCTATGTTGAAAATCCTAATAAAAAACTTTTAAAAAAACAACAAATATGTTTTTTGATATCTGACGAAAACAAAGAAAGAAATACAATAATTTGGAACTGTATGTGAAAAAAATTGTAGAAATAATAATACAATGAGTCTAATCGGAAGCCAAATGTGTTTGTTTTGTTTTGCTTTGTTTTTCCTTTTTCCCCTTCCCCTCACTCCCCTTCCCCTTCTTCTTCCTCTTCTATTTTCTTTTTTGCGTCTCTTTTCTTGGTCTTGCTCTTTTTGATATGTTAAGAAAGAGATAAAGAGATAAAAGTGTAATATGAAAACCTCAGCAAGTTAAAAGTGATGTTGTGTAATTTTTCTATTATTATTTATATATTGTTAAAATTGGTTCATTGTAATGAATTGATGTAGCAACTACTGTGGGTTTTTCCTTTGTTATTGTTGAATTCTAAAGAAAGTATTATTCTCAAAAAGAAAGAAAGAAAGAATAGAAAAATGGCAGACAGAGGGTGAGCGCCTTACGCAGAAAGTAGCAGCCCTTGAGATTATGCATTTTGTGAAGTGGAAAATGATAACAAGATTCCACGTTTGTTTCTCAAAATGAACGAGACAAGTCTCTAGTCCCTTCTGAGTCCCAATGGTCAACTATTTTAACCAATACAAGATTTCTTCTGTGTCCAGTGCCACAGCTTTCAAATCCCCACTTGGCCGCGAATGAAGATCTCAGGGTGACCCTGGAGGCCAGTCGCTGCCCCTCAGTCTAACCTCTCTCATCGGGTTGTTGTGGGGGTCAAAGGAGACACAAGAGCTACCCACACTGGAGGAATGGCAGATGAAAATGATGGACTATATGGAATTGGCGGAAATGACTGGCAGAATCCGTGACCAGGGAGAAGAGTCGGTGGAAGAAGATTGGAAGAAATTTAAAGTTTATTTACAGAAACATTGCAAAATCAATGAATGTTAGAGTGATGTTGGATTGAAGTTAAGTGGCTTCTAGCTGAACAGGTTGTAAAGCTATAAATGTATCAAGATTAAGGATTAGGACCAAAAAGACTAAGAGAAATGGAAAAATTGGTTCAAATAGGTAAAAATTTAATGTCATAATATATTAAGATTTAGGACTGGAATTAAAAAGGAGGGAAAGAAATTGCTGGGTTTATAAATTGAATTGGAATACAAAAGAGGGAGGTATGAGGAAGTCCGGGAAACAAGTAAACCTAAAAGAGGTTATGAAAGGACGGAACTATTTTTAACTGTTTTTTTCTTTTTTCTTTTTTCTTTTTTTTCCATTTTGTATTTTGTATTTTGTATGGTGTATTGTTCTCTGTTTTTGTTAAAATCTTCTTGTTTATTAATGTGATTTTATTCTTTCTGAAACTTTAATAAATATTAATTAAAAAAAACAACAACACAAAGGAGATGGGGGTCTATCTTGTACGCCCCCTTAAGAAGCTTGGATAAAAAAGCAGGATATAAATGCCAATGCTAATTCTAATGCTAACAGCAACAATCCAAACACATTCTGGGAGACAATGTATAATGAAATGAAAAAAGTGTTTAAAAGAACGTTTGTTTAAAAATCAGAAGCTTTCTTATTATAGGTGCAGAAATATGGAAGGAGCTGAAAGGACTGTTTACGTCTGCAACGAGAGCTGCCAGAATGCTCATAACCCAGAGATGGAAAGATGAAAAGGTCCCAACCAGAGGGGAATAATAATAATAATAATAATAATAATAATAATAATAATAATTTATACCCCGCCCATCTGGCTGGGCTTCCCCAGCCACTCTGAGCAGCATTCAAAAATATTAAAATACAGTAATGCATCAAACATTAAAAGCTTCCCTAAACAGGGCTGCCTTCAGATGTCTTCTAATGGCAAGTTAAACTAATGGACTATGTTGAGATGGCGAAAATGACTGGAAATATCAGAATTCAGGAAGACCAAGGTTATAATAAAGACTGGAAGAATTTTTTTTTTTGTATTTGGAAGACCACTGTAAACAGTTGAGCTCTTTAACAGGGCTTAAATAACAGTTGTGGGTTAACAGAGACTTAAGATATAAATGTTAAATGGAATAAATGGAAGGCATAAAATATGCACCAGGAAATGTTATATGGGGAAGCCATGGAAGGATGCAGGGAGGTCTAAGGGTGCAAGGGAATCTTGTATCTGTTTTTTCTTTTGTTAATTATATTCGATTAAGAATATTTTTTTAAAAAATTGGAAAACTTAATAAAATTTTGTTTAAAAAAACAACCCAAACACAGCAGCAGCCCGCGACCAGAAAGAAGAGGAACACCAAAAAGACTGGAAGAAATTTAAAGACTATTTGAATAAATATTGTAATATTAAAGATATGTAACCACTTGAAAGAATTAAATAGGCCTAGGACTAAATTAGGATTAAATAAATAAATAAGAAAATGTACGATAAGAAAAGTTTGGAAATATGATTATGACTGTGATATGGTTTTATGAAATAATGATATTGGAAACTACTATATATAATTACTAAGAAATTCAGATGGAAGAGATTAGAGGCAGTCAAGTAATAAGTTTATGAAGATGGGTTTTAATTAATTAATTAAGTTTTAGTTTATGTGGTGATTTGATGTATTTTATGTTTCATATTCTCTTTTCTTTTTTTCTTTTTTTTCTTTTATTATTGTTTACTCTCTCTTTTGTTATATTTTTGTATGAAAAATATTAAATATTATTGTGAAACAAACAAACAAACAAACACAGCAGCAGCAACAACAGCAGCAGCAACAATCCAAACAGAGAAAAGGTGGAAACAAGGTGCGAATGCCACACCTGAACAGTACCTGAAGCAGTTCCTGTGATAAAGCTTCCCTTCCACCAGGAGGCGCTGTACCAGGTGGACGTGGTTTCCACAGGTGGCGCAGTTGCTGCTCCGCATGTTGCTTCTCTCTGCTAAGACACGTCTCTGGGGGAGAAAAAGGCAAGAGAGAAGTGAACCTGAGACCCGACTCAAAGGGTCCATTTAATCCCGCCTCCCGTTTTGTGCCGCAGCCAATCAGGTGCCTCCAGGAAGCGGACAAGCCACTGCTTTCCAGAGATACATTGCCCCTAGATGTGGAAGTTCCATTCTTGGCTAGGTAAAGGGACCCCTGACCATTAGGTCCAGTCGTGGCCGACTCTGGGGTTGCAGCACTTATCTCGCTTTATTGGCCGAGGGAGCTTCCGGGTCATGTGGCCAGAATGACTAAGCCACTTCTGGCAAACCAGAGCAGCACACGGAAACGCTGTTTACCTTCCCGCCGGAGCGGTACCTATTTATCTACTTGCACTGGCGTGCTTTTGAACTGCTAGGTTGGCAGGAGCTGGGACCGAGAAACGGGAGCTCACCCCGTCGCGGGGATTCGAACTGCCAACCTTCTGATCGGCAAGTCCTATGCTCCGTGGTTTAACCCACAGCGCCACCCACATCACATCCAATTGTTGTCGACAGGCTCCCTGCCCCTCTGTTTAGCTTCTAGGGCAAAAGATGGCGGATCCATACCGCTGCCACCGGTGAGTTCTCCTTTGCCAGATTGCGAGAGGCTGAAACGGTCTTGGGTTCGGATGGTGGCAGGACTCGCGGGGGCTTGCTGGGGGCCACCGGTTCAGAAACAACCTTCTTCCCCATCGGCTCCTCGCTGGGTGCGGTAGAAGAGCGTTTTATGCCAGACATTCCTCCAACTGTTGGGAAAGGAAGACAAAAAAAGTCTCAGGAAGGAAGCAGGAAGCAGGACTGACCTAAGGTGGTTAGTCTGACCCTTATATTTCCCTCCCCTTATGGTTCTGATGAGGCTGCAATTTAAATTGCATTTTATCCTGTATTTTATTATGTTTTTACTGTAATTTTACTGTTGTTAGCCACCCTGAGCCTGGCTCTTGCCAGGGAGGGCGGGGTATAATTATTATTATTATTATTATTATTATTATTATTATTATAGATCAATGCCCTAAACTGAGAAAACGTCAGCCGAAAACTAATTGGATCTAATAAGCGGAGGACTGCAGTCTTTCAGTGTAACACAACGTCCTTTGTCATCCTGGTAGACCTCCAAATGTTTTGGAGAGCAACTCCCATCAACCCCAGTTTGGGGAAGACTGGCTTAATGGATCTCACTGGGCTGTCAGGGGAATAAGTAGCTCGGACGCAATGGATATGACATTCCCCCCACCATACTTTTAAAGCACAATGGGTACCACTTTAAACCATCATGGCTTCCCCCAAAGAACCCTGGGAGTTGTAGTTTGTTGAGGGTGCCAAGCGTTGTAATGAGACCCCCTGTTTCCCCTCATGGAGCTACAGTTCCCAGAGTTCACTGGGAAGAGGGGTCAATGGTTAAACCACTCTGGAAAATGTAGTTCTGTGAGGGGAAACAGGGGTTTCCTAATACCCAACCATGACTAACACAGCGATTGAAAGCTGTCGCTTCCATCTAGTTGCTAGAACCTATTTTATTTTATTTTTTTGAAGCGTTCATGCCAGCTGCGGATCTATTTTCAGACAAAAGCTCTGCAGGAGAAAAGGAAGGGGTTAGGGAAAAATTACTTACTTGGCGACCGTCCATGGAAATAGTTATAATATTGGGAGACGTAGGTGAGGATGCTCAGTCTGTCGGGCACTTTGAGAGCGACCATGTCCTCAGCGTCCAACAAGGCGGGGATGCCCAGTTCCATTTCGGCCACTTTGAAAGCCTATCATTCGCAAACAGAGGAGATAAGGAGACCTGATTGTTGCTGTGTTTTGAAATCCCAAACCAATGAGAGGCAAGGCCAAGCCACGGTTTACAAAGCTGAACTATGGTTTGCTACAAGATAACAACAACAACAATTTATTATTTATACCCCACCCATCTGGCTGCATCCCCAGCCACTCTGGGTGGCTCCCAATCAAGCGTTAAAAACACTATACAGCGTTAAATATTAAAAACTTCCCTGAACAGGGCTGCCTTCAGATGTCTTTTAAAGATGAGATAGCTCCTTATTTCCTTCACATCTGAAGGGAGGGTGTTCCACAAGGCGGGCGCCACTACTGAGAAGGCCCTCTGCCTAACTTCTCACAGTGATGGAACCGCCAGAAGGCCCTCGCGCTGGACCTCAGTGTCCAGGCTGAACGATGGGGGTGGAGACGATCTAAAGCAGAGCTCCAAAACTTCGGTCTCCAGCTGTTTTTGGACTACAGTTCCCATCATCCCTGACCACTGATCCTGCTGATGGGAGTTGTAGTCCAAAAACAGCTGGAGATCCAAGTTCAGAAACCCTGGTCGAAAGCAAGACTCGATTCAGGAGGGCCAGAAACACTCCAGCAACTTAGAGGGGCTGTCCAGGGTCTCTGGCAAGGGGTCTCTGCCTGAGACCTCATTCGATGGAGATACCAGAGCATACCAGATACCATACCAGAGCGTGGATTGCTTTATTTCTGTTGTGCCATATGGGTCACTTTGGGAAAGAAATTTTGTATCTGTAGATTGCCACACCTGTTACTCAAACCAATATTGTGCTTGTCCATCTAATCCTGCTTTGTCACAGTCGCTGCTGACTGCAACCACTACTATGCTATAAGATCCACTATCCTGTAATATTACATATGGTATGTACAGTTGTTTGTGGTTTTTTACATTAATTTTGCTGTAAAAATGTGTGAGATTAAGATATTGTATTTATTTGCATTACCTAATTTGAGCATGCACAGTAGTCTAGAGAAAATAAATGAGGAAGCAAGGAGGAATGCTTTTAGGAAACCCTGGAGATCATAAACAGGAGAGGCAGGATTTACCATCTCCTTGTGAACTCTCTTCCCGGCCCTTAGATTAACAAAACTAACAATAGCTACATCAAAGCTAACTATCATCTTTATGACCCAGGATGCCTGATGAAGCAACGGCAACTGGTCTGTGTATTTGGAATGCTTATACGTGCCTGTCGGGTGTAGAGAAGGCAAATGACAGAGGTGGAGAGGCTTGTGGGATTCAATCAGAAACTATTGTCAATGAATCAAACCCAGTCAACGCAATTGGATTTGTAACTGGCTGACTGACCGAACCCAAAGGGTGCTCATCAATGGTTCCTCTTCATCCTGGAGACGAGTGACTAGTGGGGTGCCACAGGGTTCTGTCTTGGGCCCGGTCTTATTCAACATCTTTATCAACGACTTGGATGATGGACTCAAGGGCATCCTGATCAAATGTGCAGATGACACCAAACTGGGAGGGGTGGCTAACACCCCAGAGGACAGGATCACACTTCAAAACGACCTTGACAGATTAGAGAACTGGGCCAAAACAAACAAGATGAACTTTAACAGGGAGAAATGTAAAGTACTGCACTTGAGCAAAAAAAATGAGAGGCACAAATACAAGATGGGGGACACCTGGCTTGAGAGCAGTACATGTGAAAAGGATCTAGGAGTCTTGGTTGACCACAAACTTGACATGAGCCAACAGTGTGACGCGGCAGCTAAAAAGCCAGTGCAATTCTGGGCTGCATCAATAGGAGTATAGCATCTAGATCAAGGGAAGTAATAGTGCCACTGTATTCTGCTCTGGTCAGACCTCACCTGGAGTACTGTGTCCAGTTCTGGGCACCACAGTTCAAGAAGGACACTGACAAACTGGAACGTGTCCAGAGGAGGGCAACCAAAATGGTCAAAGGTCTGGAAACGATGCCTTATGAAGAATGGCTAAGGGAGCTGGGCATGTTTAGCCTGGAGAAGAGGAGGTTAAGGGGTGATATGATAGCCATGTTCAAATATATAAAAGGATGTCATATAGAGGAGGGAGAAAGGTTGTTTTCTGCTGCTCCAGAGAAGCAGACACGGAGCAATGGATCCAAACTACAAGAAAGAAGATTCCACCTAAACATTAGGAAGAACTTCCTGACAGTAAGAGCTGTTCAACAGTGGAATTTGCTGCCAAGGAGTGTGGTAGAGTCTCCTTCTTTGGAGGTCTTTAAGCAGAGGCTTGACAACCATATGTCAGGAGTGCTCTGATGGTATTGAGAGCATTTGCAGATGACTTAGTATTGACGTTACAGGAGCCAGAATCTAGTACCAAAAGGGTTTTAGAATTGATTCAAGAATTTGGTCAAGTTGCAGGATTTAAATTGAATAAGGTAAAAACTAAGGTTTTAGAGAAAAATCTAACACCAATAGAGAGAGAGAGAGGTTTCAGAATGAGACAGGTCTAACAGTGGTTAAGAAAGTTAAATATTTGGGTATTAACTTGACAGCAAAAAATGGGAACTTGTTTAAAGACAACTATGAAAGATGTTGGGCTGAAGTGAAAAAAGACTTAGAAATCTGGTCAAATTTGAAGCTTTCACTGCTGGGTCGTATTGCTGCTGTAAAAATGAATGTATTGCCTAGAATGTTGTTTTTGTTTCAAACATTGCAAACTGTGGACAAAATGGACTGTTTCAAGAGGTGGCAGAGAGATATTTCTAGATTTGTCTGGCAGGGCAAGAAGCCCAGAATAAAATTTAAAATACTAACAGATGCAAAGGATAGAGGTGGATTTGCCCTGCCAGACCTTAAACTTTACTATGAATCAGCAGCTTTCTGCTGGTTGAAAGAATGGCTGCTTCTTGAAAACACTGACATTTTGGATTTAGAAGGTTTTAACAACGTATTTGGGTGGCATGCATATCTGTGGTATGACAAGGTCAAAGCACATAAAGCATTTAAAAACCATATTGTCAGGAAAGCACTGTTTAATGTTTGGATAAGATACAAGGATTTATTGGAAAACAAAACTCCAAGGTGGCTGTCACCAATGGAAGCAAAAGCCTTGAAAAAGCTCAATATGGAGGTCAAATGGCCAAAATATTGGGAAATTCTGGAACAAGATGGAGACAGATTGAAATTGCAGAGTTTTGAAAAACTAAAAACAAAGTGCGAGACTGGCTTCATTATTATCAGATAATGGAGGCATACAATTTGGATAAGAAAATTGGCTTCCAGGTGGAAAAATCAAAATTAGAAACAGAACTGTTAGAACCCAAAACTAAGAATTTGTCAAGAATGTATAACTTGCTGCTGAAATGGAACACTCAGGATGAAACGGTGAAATCTGCTATGATTAAATGGGCACAAGATGTTGGACATAACATCATGTTCGCTGACTGGGAACAGTTATGGACCACAGGTATGAAGTTTACGGCATGTAATGCCCTAAGAGAGAATATTATGAAAATGATATACAGGTGGTACATAACCCCAGTTAAGCTCGCAAAAATCTACCATTTGCCTGATAATAAATGTTGGAAATGTAAAGAAACTGAAGGTACATTTTTTCACCTATGGTGGACATGCCCAAAGATTAAGGCTTTCTGGGAGATGATATATAATGAATTAAAAAAGGTATTTAAATATACCTTCTTGAAGAAACCAGAGTCCTTTCTCTTGGGCATAGTCGGCCAACCGGTGTTAAAAAAGGATAGAACTTTCTTCATGTATGCTACAACAGCAGCAAGAATACTTATCGCAAAGTATTGGAAGACACAAGATCTACCCACACTGGAGGAATGGCAGATGAAAATGATGGACTACATGGAATTGGCGGAAATGACTGGCAGAATCCGTGACCAGGGAGAAGAGTCGGTGGAAGAAGACTGGAAGAAATTCAAAGATTATTTACAGAAATATTGCAAAATTAATGAATGTTAGAGTGATGTTGGATTGAAATTAAGTGGCTTCTAGCTGTACAGGCTTTAAAGTTATAAATATATCAAGATTAAGGATTAGGATTAAAAAGGTTAAAAGAATGGAAAAATTGGTTTTTAATAGGTAAAAATTTAATGTTATACTATATTAAGATTAAGGATTGGGATTAAAAAGGAGGGAAAGGAATTGCTGGACTAACAAACTGAATTGGAATACAAAAGAGGGAGGTATGAGGAGGTCCGGGAAACAAGTAAATGTAAAAGTAGTGATGAAAAGAGGGAATTGTTTTTAACTGTTTTTTCTTTTTTCTTTTTGTATTTTGCATTGTGTATTTTTCTTTTTATTCTTGAATTTTTCTTTTTTTGTTGATGTGATTCTTTCTTTAATAAATATCATTTTTTTTAAAAAAACGGAGTGCTCTGATGGTGTTTCCTGTTTGGCAGGGGGTTGGACTCGATGGCCCTTGTGGTCTATTCCAACTCTATGATTCTATGATTCTATGATTCAATGCTTTCATTGCTGACACAAATGGCTTGCTCCATATTTCATAATTCCTCATAGCAATCCCACCTGACCCCCACACTGGATATTTGCACCCCTACATCTGTGTATCTGCGTGGAATCCCCCCTTTGGCGAGGGTGCCTGGCCCTAAAATTCTTTTAAAATCAAAGAAATAAATTCGCTTTAAGAGCTGATTCTGGAACTCACTGGGAAGGTTTTTCTCTCCCTTCCTCCTCTCTTTTTCCCCCTTGTGTGTCCTACCATTTACCGTACTTTTCTGTCTATAAGACGCCTCCATGTATAAGACGCCCCTAATTTTGGGGGACTGGATTTTCGGAAAATGGGGGGAGATGGCAAAAAGTTGTTGAGCTTTTTGGGGGGATGATTGCCCAGAGTCGTTGAGCTTTCCTTGGGAGTGGGTTTACCAAGGGTTGTTGAACTTTTTTTAAGGGGGGAATGCAGAAAATCGGTCACCTGCGCGTGTCGCAAAATCCACCTCCCGTCTGTCCCCTCGCCACGTCGGCCAATCAACACCACCCGTTGATGCAGCGACCAATCACACGCACAATAGCTGCCAGCAGCCAATCAAACGTCCACCCTATGCACTATCCATGTATAAGACGACCCTCACTTTTTAGCATGATTTTAAAGTAAAAATAAACCTAATCTTTTACATGGAAAAGGACGGTAAGTTTGCCAGCCTGAGGAGCAGGGTCTGCCTGCCTACTGTTGTTAGTAAAGGCAACTCTGGGATGAAAGAGCAAGGTTTTAAAAAGGCTTTAAATAAATGACAACAGCAAAAGCAACAACATCACTAAGTCAAAGACCATTGTTTCCATCTGCCCACTGCTGCCAACGCTGGTGGGAGGTGGTCCTCCTGGGTCTCAACTGGCGACTTTCCATGAGGCTCCACCATCTTGAATCCATTACAGTTTTACACAGCTGAGCAGAGAGATCTTAAAATCAGCTTCCTGGTTGCGTCCCCCCCCCCCCCGATTCGTATTAAAGCTTGGCCTGTTCTAGACTCCCCCTCCCCTCGTTTTCCCAGAGAACAATATCTGTCTTTTTCTTTTTCTTTCTTTCTTTTTTTATACTTTATTTTGCTTTAAACAAATACATATAAATATAAACAACCAAAATTACAAAAGAAAAGCCCTTAATAATAATAATGGAAAGCTAAAAAAATCTACAGTGGTACCTCGGGTTACATACGCTTCAGGTTACTGCTAACCCAAAAATAGTACCTTTGCTTCAGGATGGGAACAGAAATCATGCTCCGATGGCAGCGGGAGGCCCCATTAGCTAAACTGGTGCTTCAGGTTAAGAACAGTTTCAGGTTAAGAACGGACCTCCAGAATGAATTAAGTACATAACCAGAGGTAGGTAAAGGTAAAGGAACCCCTGACCATTAGGTCCAGTCATGACCGACTCTGGGGTTACGGCGCTCTTCTCGCTTTATTGGCTGAGGGAGCCGGCGTACAGCTTCCAGGTCATGTGGCCAGCATGACTAAGCCGCTTCTGGCAAACCAGAGCAGTGCACGAAAACGCCATTTACCTTCCCGCCGGAGCGGTACCTATTTATCTACTTGCACTTTGACGTGCTTTCGAACTGCTAGGTTGGCAGGAGCTGGGACCGAGCAACGGGAGCTCACCCCATCGCCGGGATTCGAACCGCTGACCTTCTGATCAGCAAGTCCTAGGTTCTGTGGTTTAACCCACAGTGCCACCCACTTCCCATAACCAGAGGTATCACTGTACAAAAAATATCGAAGTACGTGGCATAAAACATAAGCTATTATGGGAAAGGAAAAAGGAAAAGGAAAGGAGGAGGAGGAGGAGGAAGGAAAAAAATGAAAGGAAAAAAGGGGGGGAGGAAAATGAGCCAAAACACAAGCGTCTGTTGCACGCTTTTATCAAGGTCACAACAGATCATTATTCTTATCAATTCTCTCTATCTGCATTCCAAAGAATCCCTCATCTTGGTATCAGGGAACATTTCCCTATGCGGTATCATGCTAAACATAACGAGGTCTTTATTGATGAACCCTTACCCCCTAGGTAATTATTTAAACATTCCCATTCTTCTTTCACCCTCTTTTTAGGTTTATTTCTTATTGCATTCTTTTTCTTTTTAAGGCTTTAATGGCAAGTCACAGATACAGCAGCTTGCTTTCACCCAACTGCTTTAAAGAACAAAATGTAAATATACAGGGCTTACGGCAATGGGGTGACCACCATGTTTTGGGGGGCAGAAAATAAGAACTTTGGGTGAGAAGAGAGACCTCCCACAGCCCCGGCAACCACGTCTTGCTGTGGTTCAGCAGGGTCAGGTACGGCCGGATGAGAGGCGTCCCTTAATGGCTATACTGCAACTAGGCTAGCCCAGCCCAGGTTGATGTTCTCCAGATGTTGGCTTGGGCTGATGGGGGCTGAAGTTCAACAACAGCTGGAGGGTGTCAGGGTAGAGGAAACCGCAGTAGGCAATGAAGAGATCTGGTGGTCCAGGTTGCATGTAACAAAAAAAAATCCCCTGTGTTGCAAACACAGACCAACTTAAAAAGTAAGAGGCAACGTGTGGCTAATCATGTTCTAACAACATATATACCGTATTTTTTGCTCTATAAGACTCACTTTTTCCGTCCTAAAAAGTAAGGGGAAATGTGTGTGCGTCTTATGGAGCGAATGCAGGCTGCGCCGCTATCCCAGGTGCCAGAACAGCAAGAGGGATTGCTGCTTTCGCTGCGCAGCGATCCCTCTTGCTGTTCTGGCTTCTGAGATTCAGAATATTTTTTTTCTTGCTTTCCTCCTCCAAAAACTAGGTGCGTCTTATGGTCTGGTGCGTCTTATAGAGCGAAAAATATGGTATGTATAACCTGTATTATTTCAAAGTTCTTGAATAGAGAACATATGGTGGAGATACAGCTAATAAAATAAATCAATATTGTATGAACAAAATTGGAGACGGTAGTCAATCGAGGCAAACAAGCCTGAAGAAGTGTGCATGCACACGAAAGCTCATACCAATAACAAACTCAGCTGGTCTCTAAGTTGCTACTGGAAGGAATTTTTTTATTTTGTTTCCACTACAGAACCAACACGGCTACCTACCTGTAAATAATTTCATAATTATCTGTCTATGTATTATAACCAAATCAGCAATTTTTGATATAACTGTAAAAACTACTCTGGGAATTTATTATTTCAAAAAGGAAACCTTCATCTGGTTGTGAATATTAAGATAATACCAGCAAGAATGAGTCTTTATGTAAAAAAAAAAAAAAAGATTTAAATCAAGTCTTACCTTACTGTTTAGGGAAGTTTTTAATATTTAATGCTGTATTGTTTTTAACACTTGATTGGAAGCCGCCCAGAGTGGCTGGGGAAACTCAGCCAGATGGGCGGGGTATAAATAATAAATTATTATATTATTATATTATTACTGACTAGTGATTTAAATCAAGCCTTACTGACTAGTGATTTAAATCGTGATTTAAATCGATTTGAGTTAAATCAAATCCACCCTGCTGTGGAGTATGATAATGTATTTTCCTTGCCAGAGGAAGCTATGGGTCTGTTTGGATAGATGCCTTTCTGCCTATTCCCGCCACTGGCCCACCCCAGCCCAAGCATGAGGCCCCCTAAAAGTCTCCCACAAGGGAATGAAGCACCCCCACACTTGGCTGAACTAAAGCCTGGTTTCGGGGCTCAGGAATCAGAGGCAAAACAAGCCCAGAGGCAAAGGGATGTCAGAGTGGCCTCTTTGCGGCATCATCCCAGCGCTCAGCGGAGGGTCAAGTCACTAGTCCTCATGGAAATATTCTCTGGCAGGGGCAGGCTGAGGATGAGGCTTCCAAGGCAGCGGTGGAACGGATTCTGGGCTGAGGCCAAGGAAGCTCTCCTTGTAGAAGCCGCAAAATCTGCAGCCCATCTTCTTCACAAGGCACATTCCATTCTGAATGCATTCATTCATTCATTCATTCATCCAGCCAGCCCACATTCAGATTTCTGGAGCCAGCACAGAGCCGGATGGGTGGTCCGAATGCCGTGCCTCTGTTGGGAAACATCTGTGCAAGACAACAGCTCCCTTCCCCCACCACCACGCATGCAGAGATCCAGAAATGCAATTTTCGGTAAACACAAGCGAATGAGCAGGGCACGGTCCAGTTTCCAAATGGGAAGGCAGAGTCTAGGGAGAGGTTGCAAAAATATAAAATATAGAAGCCAGCGAGGTGCAAGGATAGCAGGGTCAGATTGGAGACTGGGGTGATCTTGCAGACAGTAGCCAGGTTTCTGCAACACGCAGTGAGGATTCACAAATGTTGTATGACAGTATTTTAATTGTTAGAAGCAGATTTTGCTGAGTGATTCTATTGCACCGAACCTTTCAGAATTTTGTTTGTATGTCATAAAGGTTTGAGACCGGGGTGACCCAGGTTCAAATCCTACCCTGCCCATTCAGTCATGAAGCCAATAATAATAATAATAATAATTTTTTATTTATATCCCGCCCTTCCCAGGCGAAGCTGGGCTCAGAGTGGCTAACAACATTAAAGTAATACAGCATTCTAAAATCCATTCATTATAAAATCGGTTCAAATCAAATTAATAGCAACCATTGGGCTAGAGTTCTGTGAAGAATTACCAAAGAAGGGGGTCAGGCTGTGCCTTGGCCAAAGGCCTGGTGGAACAGCTCTGTCTTGCAGGCCCTGCAGAGAGATGTCAAGTCCCGCAGGGCCCTAGTCTCTTGTGACAGAGAGTTCCACCGGATCGGGGCCATGGCCGAAAAAGCCCTGGCTCTGGTTGAGGCCAGCCTAACCTCTCTGTGGCCTGGGACCTCCAATATGTTTTTGTTTGAAGACCGTAAGGTCCTCTGTGGGACATACCAGAAGAGGCGGTCCCGTAGGTATGAGGGTCCTAGGCCATATAGGGCTGGTTAAAACCAGCACCTTAAACCTGATCCTGTATCCCATCGGAGCCAGTGCAGCTGGTATAGCACTGGGTGAATGTGATCCTGCGGTGAGGACCCAGTAAGGATTCTAGCCGCGGCATTCTGCACCCGCTGGAGTTTCTGGGTCAGTCTCAAGGGCAGCCCCACGTAGAGCGAGTTGCAATAATCAAGCCTGGAGGTGACCGCCGCGTGGATCACAGTGGCGAGGTCAGGGCGAGAGAGGTAAGGAGCCAACTGCTTAGCTTGGTGGAGATGAAAAAATGCCGCCTTTGTTGTAGCTGCATCTGCACCTCCATGGAAAGGGAGGTGTCGAAGATTACACCCAAATTCTTAACGGATGGTGCTGGCACTAATTGCACCCCCGCAAGAGATGGGAGTTGCCCCCCATATCGTCCCGACCCAGCCAAAGTACCTCTGTCTTCAAAAGCCTACTGGGCATGTCTATGGCTAACTTACCTCACAGGGTTGCTGTAAAGATAAAACAGGAAGGAGAGCCATCTATACTGTTCCACAGTCCTCAGAAAAAGGTGTGTGTGTGTATGTAATATTTATTTGTTTGTTTATTTATTGCATGTCCACCCCAACTTTCTCTTCAAGAAGCTCAAGATAGCAGGCATGGTTCTCCACCTGCTCATTTAATCCGAAAACATCCCTGTGAGGTGGGTTAGGCTGAAAGGCAGTGACTGAACCCCAAGGTGACTCAGGAAGCTTCATGGCCATGTGGGGATTTGAAACCTGTTCTCCCAGGTCCTAGTCCGGCCTCTCCACTTGCCTCACAGAGACACATTTCCCCAAATCCATGTGGATACACTTATTCTTCAATCCTTCACCTCTCCCCCTCAAACAAATTATAAACTTGCAAAACCGCCTTGAGGATCTGGGTGTGTATGAGTGTTGGTGACAGCACGTGCATTGGCCAATAGACACCCCTCGCATCTAGCTTTTCCCTCGCTGCACTTGACCACGTTGGAAAACTTGCAGAACTGGTTTTTCAGAGCCTGGACAGAAAAGGGCGGCACTCTATGTCCTGAACAGTAAAGGATATTTTCTACACTAGCCCACGGCTCAAACAAATTCCTGATTTTCTTCTCTGGCAACATGGCAAACGAGCGGCAGCCTTTGGTTCGATTCAGGGCACATTGCCAAGCCTTTTGTACAAAGTGGCAAACGTCGATTAAACAGGTACAGATGGAGGAGTGTTTGAATTGACCCAAAGGCTGCCAGATGCAGGCAGAATGGAAGAAGGGTTAAGTTTCTTGGCACGCTGTCTTAATTTATGGTCCGTTTGTTTTGATCTAATCTGTCCAGGGCCAAAGCATGGGGCAGAGAGGAGGGGCAGAGAGGCACCCTGAGGGCACAGAAAACATGACGTCACAGCAGGAAGCAGAACTGGAAAATCTTACCAACTGGTTGTTTTCGTAGATATTTTCTTTGCTCAGAGCATCGAAGTTTCTGGAAAAGAAGGTCAAAGAGAAGGGAGGTTTAAGCCAAACAAGTGAGACTGGGCACCGAGAACTTTATTCAGCTGGAGAGTGGAGCATGCGATCCTGCCGGGTGCAGGGATCTGAGTTTCAATCCCTGCAGGGATTGTCGCAGGCAAAGCAGCACCCAGCAGGATCGAACCCTCAGCTCGCCAGCTCCGCTCACCATTTAGGGCGCTGTGATCTTGCACAATTTCCTCAGTGTTTTCCCCGCGGCTGCGATCTTGTGCATTTTGAGGCGGCATGCCTGAAAAGCACTTTTTCAGGGAGAGATTGCAGCGTGAAATCACAGCACCCAAAATGGCCCTCATGTTCTCCCTAGAAAAAAAAAGGGAATACGACACCCCAGAATATGGCGTCCTGGTTTTTCCCTTTTGATGCACTGGAGGGTACGAAATGGGGCCTCCTAAGAATTCCCAGCACCCTTAACAAACTACAGCTCCCAGAATTCTTTGCAGGGGGGAAGCCATGCCTGTTTAAAACGGCATGATGCTGGTTTAAACGTATGCTGTAAATGTGGCCAGAGAAGCAGGTAGATACGTTTATTAAAAGCACCTTCCAAACTTGCTGAGGAACATGAACCGGTGCAGCCACCCCCAAATCCTATAATCGCCATCCCCAACTCCATGCATCTCCAGAGATCTTGAACTACAACTCCCTTAAGCCTGAGGAATGCTGGCTTGCACTCGCCTCTGATCTCAGACCAAGCCACAAGCAACCAATTGTCCACTGAGTGGGTGGGTGACTCTGTACAGGAATACCTTGGTTCTCAAATGCCTTGGCACTCATACAACTTGGAACCCAAACACTGCAAACCCGGAAGTAAGTGTTCTGGTTTGCGAACCTTTTTCAGAAGCCGAACATGCTCTGTTTTGAGGGTTACGCTTCCATTTTGAGTACAGTGGTACCTTAGGTTACATACAGTTCAGGTTACAAACGCCTCAGGTTACAAACTCCGCTAACCTGGAAGAGTTACCTCAAGTTGAGAACTTTGCCTCAGGATGAGAACGGAAATCGTGTGCCAGCAGGGCAACAACAGCAAGAGGCCCCATTAGTGAACACACGCCTCTAGTTGAGAACAGTTTCAGGTTAAGAACGGACCTCCGGAATGAATTAAGTTCATAACTAGAGGTACCACTATACATGGTTTATTGCTTTCATTTTATGGAACAATGGTCTCGTTAGATAGTAAAATTCATGTTAAATTGCTGTTTTAAGGGTTGTTTTTAAAAGTCTGGAACGGATTAATCCGTTTTGCATTACTTTCTATGGGAAAGCCCGCCTTGGTTTTGGAACTCTTTGGTTTTGGAACGGACTTCCGGAATGGATTAGGTTTGAGAACCAAGGTACCGCTGTACTCGGAAGAACTGGGCACGGAGAGCTAGCAGGCATTTTCCACGGCGGTTTTAGGGAAGCATGACTCAGGACCAATGAGTCATCAAAAATCAGCTTGAGAACACATTTCCTCCGAAGGCATAGCTGGTTGGGCAACGCAGACGCCGCAAAGCAGCCAAAAAAACCACGCTGATCTTTGCTCTTTATTACTCCGGCTCAAGACTTGAAAGGAAATCATCACCACCGGAGCTTTAAGTTTATAATCCTGCTGCAATTTGGAGGCAGCGCCCTCGCTTTCTCTTTCATTTCTACCTGGGCATTAACCTTAAGACCCACCTGGCAGGTGCAAAGTTTGGCATGCAAACACAGAGGTTGGGCACGGGAGGAAAGTCCCCTGCTGGCTTGCGTGTCCAGCCACAGATAAGGACACTAGAGCAGGATAGTAGGGTGATAAAAGGAGAGGTGGAAGAGATGGAAAGAAGATAAAGTCCCTGCCAGAGAAGAATGGCGGATGAAGTTGATGGACTATGCTGAAATGGCTAAAATGACCGGAAGAATCAGAAATCAGGAAGACGTTTCCAATAGTTTGACCGGCTGTGCAATGGTTAGAGCAGGCTTCCTCAACCTCAGCCCTCCAGATGTTTTGAGACTACAATTCCCATCATCCCTGACCACAGGTCCTGCTAGCTAGGGATCATGGGAGTTGTAGGCCAAAAACATCTGGAGGGCCGAGGTTGAGGAAGCCTGGGTTAGAGGATTGAATCCTGCTTCAAAACCCTACTCAGCCACGAAGTTCACTGGCTGGCCTCAGGCCATTTGTTCCATCACAGTCTATCCTACTTGGCAGGGCTGTTGTTGAGGACAAAACAGAGAAGGGTCCAGAGGAAAAGTGGGATACAAATACAGTAAATGAAACCATAATGGCAAGCAAGTAGCAGTCCTAGTATGTTAATAATAATAATAATAATAATAATAATAATTTATTTATACCCCACCCATTTGGCTGGGTTTCCCCAGCCACTCTGGGTGGCTTTCAACAGAATATTAAAATTAAAAGCTTCCCTAAACAGGGCTGCCTTCAGATGTCTTCTAAAAGTCTGGTAGTTGTTGTTCTCTTTGACATCTGGTGGGAGGACGTTCCACAGGAAGGGTGCCACTACCGAGAAGGCCCTCTGCCTGGTTCCCTGTAACCTCACTTCTCACAGCGAGGGAACTGCTAGAAGACCCTCGGAGGTGGACCTCAGTGTCCAGGCAGAACGATGGGGGTGGAGACGCTCCTTCAGGTATACTGGACCGAGGCCATTTAGGGTGTTAAAGGTCAGCACCAACACTTTGAATTGTGCTCAAAAATGTACTGGGAGCCAGTGTAGGTCTTTCAAAACCGGTGTTATGTGGTCTCGGCGGCTGCTCCCAGCCACCAGTCTAGCTGCCGCATTCTGGATGAGTTGTAGCTTCCAGGTCACCTTCAAAGGTCGCCCCACATAGAGCACAAACTGAATTCACTAGTCCATCTTACTTGACGTTTGCACATTGCTACTGTTGCTCTCCAGTTTTCTGAACTGCCCTTTGCTGGAATGTGAGTTTATCCTTTCCTGTACATGCACACAACGCAGATGAAGAGAAGCTGGAAACAGTTGCTCAGTTGTCCTCCGCTCCCCCAAAGGATCCTGCCCATACTTGCATCTCAGCCCAGGGCAAGGAAGGACAAGGGGTATGAGGCTGACCCTGAGTCTCTGACCCCCACATGCCTGTGGCAAGTTTCCAGCATCACCATATCAACATCCTGGGAAAGTCTTGACCTGTTGATTTCTGCCTGTCGTGCAAAAAGCCCCACTCAGTAGAAGCCAAGCGATTTCCTCGAGGGCATGCGGTCTCCTCTATCATTTCACAGCTGCTTAAAAAAGGAAATTTTTGCAAGCGCAACTTGTCTCGCTGTAGGAAAGGGGAGAAGCGGCACATAATAAAATTCCCCCCTCCAAATTCTACACAACTATTAAAGGCGCAGGAGGTCAAACAAACCTGCCTGGTGCAGTAATGAAACTGGAGTGGAAATCTATTCAAGATGTTATACAGCTGGTCCTTAACACCTACCAAAATAGCTAACATGTATAAGACAAAAACAAATCTGTGCCGGAGGTGTGGTAAAACAGAGGGGACACTTATACATGTTTGGTGGACCTGTGAAAAAAATCAAAAGCTTCTGGAATATAGTACAGTGGTACCTCGGGTTACATACGCTTCAGGTTACATATGCTTCAGGTTACAGACTCCGCTAACCCAGAAATAGTGCTTCAGGTTAAGAACTTTGCTTCAGGATGAGAACAGAATTCGTGCTCCGGCAGTGCGGCAGCAGCGGGAGGCCCCATTAGCTAAAGTGGTGCTTCAGGTTAAGAACAGTTTCAGGTTAAGTACGGACCTCCAGAACGAATTAAGTACTTAACCCGAGGAACCACTGTATATGACAAGCTTAAAAAAATGTTTAAGTATAACTTTATGAAAAATACAGAAGCTTTTCTACCAGGGATAACAGACACAGGTATAGCAAGAGAAGATCAGAAAATATTCCTCTATGCAACAGGAGCGGCAAGGATCCTAATTGCTAAAAACTGGAAAAAAGAATTTGCGCCAACAAAAAAGGAATGGCAAGACAAACTGTTAGAGTATACTGAACTGGCTAGATTGACAGAGGCAATTAGTAATGAAACTGGAGTGGAAATGAAGGGAAAGCAGGGAGAAGGGAGGGGAATTCCGTACTCTCAGAACAACACCACCGGGGCAGTGGAAAAAGGATTCCCGCTGCCACAGTTTGAAAGGAAAGTTGATTCCCTGGCCAGGAAGAGAACAGGAGGGAGAGAAGTTCAAGGAAATGCCTGAGGGAGGTGGGAGGAGCTGGCAGGAAGCAGGAAGAGATACATGCGAAGGGGAAAAGGAGGGTAAATAATGAAGAGACAAAGGCCACTTGGCACTATAAATAAAGGGCCGTGATGCCACTTTAAACAGCTGTGGTTTCATGGAATCATAGAACTGGGGAGGGAACCCAAAGGTCATCTAGTCCAACCCCCGGCAATGCAGGAATCTCAACTCGATCTTATAGGACAGATGGCCACCCAACCTCTTATTAAAAACCCCCAATGAAGGTTATGAAGATATGGAGATAAACAGGAGCTCAGCCGCCTCTCCTGGCTCGTGTGCCGCTGACTCAGGACAGAGGCAGGAAAGTACTCTGCCTTCTCTACGGTTTCAGTGAAGACTCACTTTTACTTCTGGATCCTCAGCACAAGAGATTTTTCCTTCCTCCGCTCACGAATCGGCTTCAGGTCAGCTTCCAGTTCAGCTCCTCAAAGAATCCTGGGAGCTGCGGTTTTATAGGGTGCTGAGAGTCGCTGGGAGACCCCCTCTATTGCCCTCATACAGCTGCAGACAATCTTAATTGGCTACGAGTGATAGCCAAAGAAGAAAGAAGAAGTAGCAGTTCCCAGAGTGGTTCAACAACCAATCCCTCTTCCCAAGGAAATCTGGGAATTGTAGCTCCCTCGCTACATGGGAATAATCATACTGGTCTACTTCGCAGGGTCGCTGTAAAGATTATCAGGAAAAAGTATGTGAATTGCTCCCAGCACTCAGCTCTTAAGGTAGATTTGCGGTGTGTGCATGTCAAACATTGGAGGCAATGGCTTCAGCTCGTCCATGATAATATGACAGCAGCAATCACAGATAACAATGGCTCTCAGTGAACCATTCACAGTGGCATCAGGTGTTAAAAAGGGCTGTGTTATCACCCCAACTCTATTTATTATTTTCATCGCCATGATCCTACCCTTTGTCAAATGGAAACTCCCCACCGGAGTAGAAATAATATATTGAACAGATGGAAAGCTCTTTAAGCTGAATAGGCTGAAAGCAAAGAATAAGGTTACCATAACCTCCGTCATAGAGCTTTAGTATGCTGATGACAACGTAGTGTGTGCACACTCAGAGGATGACCTCCAAACCATCCTAAATATCTTCGCAGAAGCTTATGGAAATCTTGGCCTATTGCTCAACATCCAAAAAACCAAAGTGCTGCACCAACAAGCACAAAACAACCCCTCCACAGTGTCACAAATCCAACACAATGGTGTAACGTTGGAAAGTGTTGATCACTTCTCCTGCCTGGGGAGTTATCTTTCTACAAGGGCCGACATTCATGCCGAAATTCAGCATCACCTGAGCATCACCTGAGAGCCAGTGTGGTGTAGTGGTTAAGAGTGGTGGACTTGTAATCTGGGGAACCGGGTTCGCGTCTCCACTCCTCCACATGCAGCTACTGGGTGACCTTGGGCCAGTCACACTTCTCTGAAGTCTCTCAGCCCCACTCACCTCACAGAGTGTTTGTTGTGGGGGAGGAAGGGAAAGGAGAATGTCAGCCGCTTTGAGACTCCTTAAAGGGAGTGAAAGGTGGGATATCAAATCCAAACTCTTCTTCTTCTTCTCTGCAAGTACAGCTTTCTCCCGATTGAAGTGCAGAGTGTATGAGGACTGGGACATTCACAGGGAAACCAAAATGCTTGTGTACAAAGCAACCTGGTGCCTTCATCAACCTGGTGCCCTCCTGGTGCTCTGGACCACAAATCCCCCCCCCCCCCGTGCTTGTTGGGGCTTTTGGGAGGTAACAGCACAAAAGATGCTTTTTGGGGGAGCAGCAAGCTGGCAAATGATCTTTTACCGCAACTTAAGAAACAGCATAGAGAGGGTCAGAGAAGCCGCCCCACAAAAGCCCACTCCCTATTAACAACAGAGATATGTGTGCATCAAAATCCTGCTCAACTTCACCTAAACGTCTCCTCCCCACAAAAAAAGTCTTGCCCCCTATATCCATTATGCAAATCAGGCCAGTGGGCAGAATTGACTCAGCTTCTGCTGGTCGTATTGAACAGGCGAGAAGCCACACGGGGTGCTCAGGTCCCATGCTTGTGAAACAGGGACCACTTATAAATGCCATCTCCAACTCCTCAAAAGATTCCATCAATGGTGTCTCCGAAAAAGTTTACACATCACTGGGGAAGACAGGCAAACTAATGCCAGTGTACTGGAAGAAGCAAAGATCTCCAGTGTCGAAGCGATGATGCTTCAACATCAACTTTATTGGACTGGTCATGTTGTGCGGATGCCTGATGATCGTCTTCCAAAGCAACTACTCTATTCCGAACTTAAAAATGGAAAGCGTAATGCTGGTGGTCAACAAAAGAGGGTTAAAGACTCTCTCAATGCAAATCTAAAAAAATGTAGTATAAACACAGACAACTGGGAAACACTGGCCTGCGAGCGCTCCAATTGGAGAACGGCCTTTACCAAAGGTGTCATGGGCTTTGAAGATGCTGGAACTCAGGACGCAATGGAGAAATGTGCTAAGAGGAAGACACGCTTGGCAAACCCTCACTGTGATCAACTCCCGTCCGGAAACCTATGTCCCCACTGTGGAAGGACATGTGGATCCAGAACTGGCCTCCACAGTCAATTACAGACTCACTGTTAAGACTGCGCTCATGGAAGACAATCTTACTTGGCTAGAGTATCCCTGTCAAGATTCAACAGGCACTTTCCAGAAACAGCTGAAGACATTTTTGATCCGACAGGTTTCCCCAGATAGATAAAGGGGGTCTTTCCCAGTATGCTTCACTGGAATTTTAATCTTGGGGGTTTTTTTAACAGTTTTTAATTATCTTATGTGCAAATCACCTTGGGACAGTGGTTTAGAAAGTGATTAACAAATTGTAAAAATATGGAGGCAGAGGATAGCCATTGGGCGAGCAGATTCTGTTTCACTTCTCTCCTCTACCCCCCCCCCCCGCCGCCTGCTTTTCCTGAGAAGGATGTGGACTATGTATAAACAGCCAAACATGTGTCAGACCTGTTAGCAAAGCAAGTCAAAACAATAACAGGCAGGCAGGCTTTCCATCTAAACTATTTGCTTTAGTCTCCACATTCCAAGGGGTAAGTTTAGTGTCTGTTTGCTGAGAAACAAACACTGTTTAAACACAGATGCAATCAAGAGAAAGGATATGGGACAAGAATCCTGGCTTTTTTCCAGGAAGGCTCCATAGCAAAGGTCCAGAATCAGATGGGCTCTTAAGAACAGAGCAAAACTTATTGAATCCATCTGCGGATTTAACAGCGAGAGATGTCTGACTGCAGAACCTCCCTCGGGAGGTTTTGAACTCTCCTTCCTCGGAGGTTTTTAAGCAGAGGTTGGGTGGCCATCTGTCCTGGATGCTTTAGCTGAGATTCGTGCATTGCAGGGGGTTAGACTAGATGACATTTGGGGGTCCCTTCTGAAATAAAAATTTTAAGGTCTTATATATATAATAAATGTTCATAAATGTACCAAACAAGCACGTACATAGATCAGCACAGGAAGACAGTCCTGAAACCATTTTGACTCCCAAACTGACCAAATGTTTTCTCTGCAAGGAGAGAGGGGATCAGAGAACCTTCCCATTGTCTCAGGAATTGGCAAATCACCATCTCAAAGGAATGGCCAGACTACCAGGAAAGGCAATCAGATAAGACATTATCAGATAACCTGGCAGATAGGAAAAACAACACCATTCAAATTTCTGTTGTAGACCGCCTTTTATGTGATGTAGGTATGATGTTTGTGGGAGGGAGTCTTGGGTTACACCCCTTCTGTGATGCATGTATGATGTATGGAGGGGTGGTCTTGAGCTCCAGGGAAGGCAATTTAAATTGTCTATATAAGGGCGGGCACACCTTTGTTCTGGGTTCCTCCTCTGTCCTCCTGCGTGTGAGGGGAGCACCCTGTTGCAACAGATCAATAAAGATCAGGCTTACGAGCTGCTTTGCTTCTCAATATTCTCTGGTTGGCCTCTGTTCTTTTCTCCGACCGATGGAGAACCTACAAAGGACTCTATAAGGGCTCTTGCGTTCCCCATAAGGGAATAAGGGCAGATTTTTGTTTATTACACTTCCAACTCAACATTTCTACGATTCTTTGACCTGTTGGTGCTGAAGGCAGAGGAGAGGGCTGGGGAGAAGCAGCGATACAGCTCAACTGCTCAGCTGTCTCCTATTTCCCACCAGTTCCTCCATCAGAGTCAGTCATATGGAAGGAAGTGGGACACGGGCACATTATGCCACAGTGGCTCAGACAGGCATGCATAACCTCTGAGTTCATTCATCATGTGCGTTTGGGGTTTCAACAGGGATGGCGTCATCCGGTGGGCGAAGTTTGGTTGTGAGCAATTCCTTTGTCTGGCCCTCATCTGTGGGAGTGGAGGGTGATATAGTGGACCCCCGAGAGGCCTGTGGAAAACCTCTTAGTCTTCTTAACTCCCAAGAGAAGGCAGTTTCTTTTCTTTGCTTCTTAATCCTTTTGCTCCTGCAATGGATTTACTTGGAAGAGAAGGGGCTGAATTTTGTTATTTATTATTTGGAATTCCATCCTGCTTTTTGTGGGTGGCAACTGCCAATTTGAATTAATTTTGAAGCTTCGGGAGACAAACGGTGAACTTCTTAGCTTTGGGGGAATGCATGCAGCCCTGGTGTGAATCTAGGGCAAAACAGGGGGGGTGAACTTGCTGAAATGGGAGGGGCAAGCTGTGTTGTGAAGCCCCCACTCAGGCACTCCCTATTGCAGCTGATCTCACCAGGCTTGCTGTGACTGCCAATCAGCTGATTGGACAATCAGCTAGAAGGGGCCATGAGGGTCATCTAGTCCAACCCCTTGAAATGCAAGAATATTTTGCCCAGCATGTGGCTTGAACCCATGACCCGGAGATTAAAGGCCTCATGCTCTACCGACTGAGACATCCAGGATACTCAAGAGGCTCAGAAAAGGGCAACCAAAATTATTGATATTCCACACTAGGGATCATTAGGGAAAAGAGCTGAAAAGAAAAATGCTGGTATCATGACACCGTGATGCAAATCTCAGGTGCAACTGCATTTGGAATTCCGTGTAGGGTTCTGGTCACCTCACCCCAAAAAGGAGATGGAAGAGTTGGAGAAAGTTCAAGAAAGGGCAATGCAGATAATGGAGGGGATGGATCAACAACCTTACAAGGAAAGGCACCAGCATTTGGGAGTTTTTGGTTTAGGGAAAAGGCAAGTTAGAGGGGATAAGATACAAGTTTATAAAAATTAGGCATGGCATGAAGAAAGTGGATAGATAAAAGTTTTGCTCCCTCTCTCAGAATATTAGAGGATATCCAGAGAAACTGAACATTGGAAGGTTCAGGACAGACAAAAATAATTTATCCACATAGCGCATAGTTAAATTGTGAGGTTCCCTATTGCAAAATGTGATAATGGCCACTAACTTGGTTGGCTTTTAAAGAAGATTGCAGAAATCCACGGAGGTAAAAGCTATCAGCAGTGACTAGCCAAGGCATCTCTGTATTATCACTTTTGCTTTTAGGTGAAAAAACTTGTTCAGATCTCACCTCTGTCCTGAATTGGCAAGCCACCCTGCAGGCTTCAGCCAGCACTACCTTGCAGGGTTGTTGTACAGATCGTCAGGACAAAATTAATGAGCATGTTTTTAAAACCTCCTTTCATCCGGATTGACTCCAGGGCAGGATACAGGTTTGTTTGTTTGTTTGTCTGTTTTTAAGCACACAAGACGAAACTGAGGGGGAAGGAGCAGGCAAGTACACTTTAAAAGTGCAAAAGAACTTTTCAAAAGGCTGAGCAAACAAAAAGGTGTGGGGTTTTTTTACTTGGCGCCTAAAAGAAAGCTGTGATGCTGCCAGGTGAGCCTCAGGGGACGGCATCCCATAACAGAGGAAGAAAGCTTCTCTCACTAAGCGCCACCCACTTTGCTTGAAAAGGGAAGGCACAAACAGAGGTGGACATTGGAACATGATTTCAGAGCAAAGGCAGATTGATAAGGAAGTTTATTGGATCGACCTGGATGTTTACAGGTTAATGAATGTGAAACTCTATTGCCCAAAGCAGCCTCCTGCAAACTGCTGCCCTCCATAAGTTGTTGGGCTCCAACTCCCATCAGCCCCAGCCAGCATGGCAAATGGCCAAGGGGTGATGGAAGTTGTGGTCCCCAGCATCAGCAATTACTACTACTTAAAGAGAGATATTCCCGCATCGTATTTTCTGATCAGAGCACTTTGACATTTCATCTTGCGAAGGAACAACTTTGGACCACAAACCCCAGCTGATCCTGCCTTTTGGAGACATGAAGAAGTTGCGTCCACTGACACCACCTATATTATTATTATTATTATTATTATTATTATTTGCTTTAAATATCCCCCCTTTGCATGGTTCTCCCTGCCTCCTCATTTAATCCTCACAACAACCCCATGAAGCAGACCAGGTTGAGAGTAAGTGCCTGTTCCAAAATATAGCTCAGTCGGTTAGAGTGTGGTGTTGATAATGCCAAGGTTGCAGGTTTGATCCCTGTATAGGACAGCTGAGTATTCCTGCATTGCAGGGGGTTAGACTAGATGTCCCTCAGGATCCCTTCCAACTCTCTGATTCTATGATTTATGGCCAAGGGAACCCTGGTCACTCCCAGGCCTTTGTCCAACACTCTAACCACTGCACCATGCTGGCTTAAGTCTCTGGTAGACTGCATCTGTCCATGGAGGTGCCACTTAGCTATTCCAGAAGACCCCCCTCTGAAAGCTCTACCTGCCAGAAACTTGCCATCCTGCCCTCATCCCCCCCAGTGCTTTGCAAGGGTTCTTTGCACACACACACCAAGTCCTTAATTGCAAGGGGGTGAGACCCCTAAGGCAACCCCTTCCCCAGCACTCTCTCTCTTTGTAGAACTCACATGAGATCCGGTCTGTGGCGATGAAGGATAGCACAGAAGGCCAAACCGTCCCGGAAAGAAGTGGTCATGTTGGTGATGCTGACATCCCGGTATCCTTGGCACTGTTGCTTGCACCATTGCTGGAGGGCTTGGATAGCTGCCATCTTGGAGGGGGGCGATGAAAATACGAGGAAGCGATGGAGAAGGAGGAGAGAGCGGTTCAGAGCCCCTCGCCTTGGCTTCTGGGCTGCTCAGCGCAGGGTTGGAGACGCCGGCGGTCTTCCGAAGCGCGCCCCCGTCTAAAGCTCTCCCCGCCCCTATCCAGCCCCCCAAGTCGCCCCGCGCCCTCCTTTTTCCATAGCAGGAGGCGAGGCGAGGAAAGCTGCAGGCGAAACTGTCTGAAATCCCAGGCACACGTGTCTAGCAGCGGGGCAACGTCTGGTGGGCAGCCACGTCGCGCGTTCCAAAATGTTCCAAATTGTTGTGGGGCGCGGGGCGGGCACTCTGTGCGAGAGACCCTCCCCAAATCCGGCGCCCGGGAAGAGCAGCGCCGGCGCAAATCCAGCCCCGCTCCCGATCGGTGGAACGGAAAGCGCCCGCGGCGCTTCCGACGTGCGCCAAGACGCACGACCTCTCCAAAAAGTACCCCAGAGGCGCCCGAAGGAGCGGGCGGGCGGCCGAGCGGAGGGAGCCCCGTAAGGAGCGATCGCGTCGGGGAGGCTCCGCCGGGAAAGCCGGAGAAACTCCAGCCTCCGGATCTGTGGGAAAGAGGAGGCGGGGAGGGAAAGGAAAACTTCGGCGGCGGGGGGAGCCGGGGAGCCAATGGCCGAGCCTGGAGCGCAGGAGGGCGGGGAGCGGGACGAGACGAGAAGAACTCCGCCTCCCGGACCTCCCCGCTCTGCCCTTCCTCGCTGCTGTCGGACCTCCAGCGGCGATCTTCTGCGTGATTACTCTCCGGTGCGCTCGGGAGTGGTCCAGTGGGGTGTCCTGGCCTGATCCTATGCATGCTTACTCTGGAGTAAGGCGCGCTTCGCGCAGTTGGGAGGATCGGGTCCCTGCAAAGGATAGGATTCCCAATGGTGGGGCGAGCGGTCGGATCCTGATTGCACTTTCTCAAAAGTAAGCTCCTAGAGTCCTGTAGGACGTCCAGCCCAATCCTATTGTCCAACAGGAAAACGATCTAGATCATTTATGATTATTATTTTTTAAACACAGGGCTCGGCTGGGGGGAGCTGTCCATTTATTCCTACTTTTGGCTTCCTGCTTCTTAGGTAAAGGTAAAGGGACCCCTGACCATCAGGTCCAGTCATGGCCGACTCTGGGGTTGCGGCGCTCATCTCGCTTTACTGGCCGAGGGAGCCAGCGTACAGCTTCTGGATCATGTGGCCAGCATGACTAAGCCGCTTCTGGCGAACCAGAGCAACACACGGAAACGCCGTTTACCTTCCCGCCAGAGCAGTACCTATTTATCTACTTGCACTTTGACATGCTTTCAAACTGCTAGGTTGGCAGGAGCAGGGACCGAGCAACGGGAGCTCACCCTGTCGCAGGGATTCGAACCGCCGACCTTCTGATCGGCAAGCCCTAGGCTCTGTGGTTTAACCCACAGCGCCACCCACTTCTTAAGCAGTTACTAATCCATAAGAGGGCCTCCTATCCCCTGTTTTTGGCACCTCTGGAAACAATGGAGAAATGCTCCTTCCTGGGGAAAGTCAAACTGTTGGAGAGTTACAGCGCCTGCCGTGGCTGTAGAGACCGATAGGGAAGAGACATGTTTTGTTGCAGCTGGGACACATGAAAGTGTCCTGTTGTGCTGCTGCAGATGCACCAGGGCAATTCTTCTCTCTGCTCCTCCCGGGGGTCATTCCTCCTCTGGTCACTGCTGTGGATGCACAACTTGACTGCTCTTGTCTCCAGGGGATTCCCGCAGACATCTCCTGAAACAGACGGTTGCCAACAACTACAAATAGTATCTTTAGCAATGCTTTTCAACCAAGGCTGACACAACCGCCCCCCCCCCACACAAGTACACTATATAAAAGAATATAGGCCTTACCCCTTCCTCTCCCCCGTCTTCTTCTCCAGCCTTATACTGTACTCAGCACTAATGTTTCATGGCAAATGTCACTGGTCTGTGAGAAATCCTGAAAAAAGAGGCAAGGCATGTGCTTTTGTAAACCAAAGAGATCTTTAATCAACAACAACAGCAATGCTTTCCAACCGATTTCCCCAGAACAGACACTAAGCTAACCAGCCTGTGATTTCCCCCTGGAAATTCCCCACTGGATCCCTTAAAAAAATAAAAAAATAAAAATAAAATAAAAAGCTTTTTCATTGGCCACTTACCTGTCCTCAAGTTGATCTTGGGGACAAATTACATATTTTTGTAAGGAGATCAGCAGTTTTTGCATCTGAGTTCTTTCTAAAGAGTCTCTCTAAGACATGGATAGGCAAACAAAGGCCGGGGGGCCGGATCCGGCCCTATCGCCTTCTAAATCCAGCCTGCGGATGGTCTGGGAATCAGTGTGTTTTTACATGAGTAGAATGTTTCCTTTTATTTAAAATAATAATAATAATAATAATAATAATAATAATAATAATAATTTATTATTTGTACCCCGCCCATCTGGCTGGGTTTCCCCAGCCACTCTGGGCGGCTTCCATAGAAACCAAAAATACACTAAAATTTCACAGATTAAAAACTTCCCTGAACATGGCTGCCTTAAGATGTCTTCTGAATGTCAGGTAGTTATTTATCGCTTTGACATCTGACGGGAGGGCGTTCCACAGGGCGGGCGCCACTACCGAGAAGGCCCTCTGCCTGGTTCCCTGTAGCTTTGCTTCTCGCAATGAGGGAACAGCCAGAAGGCCCTCAGCGCTGGACCTCAGCGTCCGGGCAGAACAATGGGGGGTGGAGACGCTCCTTCAGGTGCATCTCTGGGTTATTTGTGGGGCCTGCCTGGTGTTTGTACATGAGTAGAATGTGTGCTTTTATTTAAAATGCATCTTTGGGTAATTTGTGGGGCATAGGAATTCGTTCATTTATTTCCCCAAAATATAGTCCGGCCCCCCCACAAGGTCTGAGGGACAGTGGACCGGCCCCCTGCTGAAAAGGTTTGCTGACCCCTGCTCTAAGAGGATGCCTCCCGGACCCAGCAATCTGCCGGGTTTTAATTCGCCAAGGAGGCCCCAAACTCCCCTCAAAGGTCTTCCAAAACAAATAAGGGTTTCCTGAGGGTGGCAGAACCCATACAGAAAGGGGGTGTGGGGGGATGTGCCAGGGCAGGTAGCGAGGGAGGAGCTGCAAGGCCTACCCTCCCCACCTGCGCTGAGTCCACTTTCAGTCCTCTTGCTTTCAACGCAAAAGGAGTTGGGAAGATTGGAGAACAGGAAGCTGCTACTGAGGCAAACCCACTGGTCCATCTAGCTGAGAACTGCCTACTCCGACTGCAAGGTTTCAGGCACAGCCCTACTTTGGGACCTTCTGTCCACAAAGAGTTTGAAGAAGGAGAGTTTGGATTTGATATCCCGCTTTATCACTACTCTAAGGAGTCTCAAAGCGGCTAACATTCTCCTTTCCCTTCCTCCCTTCCCTTCCCAAACACTCTGTGAGGTGAATTGGACTGAGAGACTTCAGAGAAGTGTGAGTAGCCCAAGGTCATCCAGCAGCTGCATGTGGAGGAGTGGGGAAGCAAACCCGGTTCACCAGATTACAAGTCTACCGCTCTTAACCACTACACCACACTGGCTGAGCCACAGCCCTTCGCCTTATAAACAGGTGACAGTCGCTACCATACTCCTTGCAGTTGTGAACACACACACCCCACACACACACCCCACATTACCCCCAAATAGGGATTCGCTGATCAGTGTTATGGGCAACAGGCATGGCTGATTTGCTTGTTAAGTAAAGGTAAAGGGACCCCTGACCGTTAGGTCCAGTCATGACCGACTCTGGGGTTACGGCGCTCATCTCGCTTTATTGGCCGAGGGAGCCGGCATACAGCTTCCGGGTCATGTGGCCAGCATGACTAAGCCGCTTCTGGCGAACCAGAGCAGCGCACGGAAATGCCGTTTACCTTCCTGCCAGAGTGGTACCTATTGATCTACTTGCACTTTGACGTGCTTTCGAACCGCTAGGTTGGCAGGAGCAGGGACCGAGCAACGGGAGCTCACCCCGTCGCGGGGATTCGAACCACCGACCTTCTGATCGGCAAGTCCTAGGCTCTGTGGTTTAACCCACAGAGCCACCCACGTCCCTGATTTGCTTGTTAACCATGGCTAAATGAGCTACGTATGTACCTTTAAAAAGCTCTTCTTTTTCTCTCTTTCTTTTTGTGTTTCCTTTCTTGGTCTTTCTCTTTTTGATATGCTAAGAAAAAGATAAAGTGATAAAAGTGTATTATGAAAACCTCCGTAAGTTTAAACTGATGCTATGTAATTTCTTTAGTAGTATTTATAAAATGTTTAAACTGGTTAATTGATGTAGCAACCACTGTGGTTGTCCCCCCCCCTTTGTTATTGTCGAATTCTAAATAAAGTTTTATTCTGCTAAAAAATAAATAAAAATAAAAAGCTCTGTTTTTATTGAAAAATTCCTCCCACTTCACCGACAACAACCAGCAGAAACAGCCACCTAATCCCATTGCAGCCAAGCAAACATGTGCTTAAATGTCACTAGAGATTTTTTCAAATCTCATGTCAGCCCCGTGGAAAGATGAAGACTTTAGAAGGCGACGTACGCCTCTCCGAAATGATCTATGGATTATGGTGAAACATGGAACGGTGGAAGAGTCTTTGCTAACATGTGAAATGAGTAGGGGTCCATGATTCTGCACAGGAATCTGACCAGGGGAGGCCAGCGCCAGCATGCATTTGTTGGGTTAATCCTCTGTCAGAACCAGTTCAGGAAAGCATATTTCTCTCCCAGCCTTCTGAGATGCTAGCCAGATCGCATTTGCAGCTAGAAAGCCAGTAAGGGCTGTTGTTCTATCAGATTTCTACCTTCTTATCTTTGTACTTTCTCAGTGTTCTTCAACCTTGGGTTTCTGGATGTTGCTGGACTACAGCTCCCATCAGCCCTGGCCAAGCTGTCTGAGGCTGATGGGAATCATAGAATCATAGAACTGCAGTGTTAAAGAGTCTGCAAGGGTCATCTCTTCCCACCCCCTGAAGCGCAGGAATCTCAACTAAAGCATCCACGACAGGGGACTATCCAACCTCTGCTTAAAACCCCCAGGGAAGGAGAATCTGCCACCTCCCGAGGGAGACTGTTCCACTGTTGAACAACTCTTCCTGTCAGAAAGTTCTTCTTGATGTTTAGTCAGAATCTCCTTTCTGAAGGAGCCTCTCCACCCCCATCGTTCAGCCTGGACACTGAGGCCCAGCTCCGAGGGTCTTCTGGCAGTTCCCTCCCTGTGAGAAGTGAGGTTACAGGGAACCAGGCAGAGGGCTTTCTCGGTGGTGGCTCCCGCCCTGTGGAATGCCCTCCCACCAGATGTCAAGGAAATAAACAACTATCTGACTTTTGGAAGACACCTGAAGGCAGCCCTGTTCAGGTAAGTTTTTAATGTCTGACGTTTTATTGTATTTTTAATGTTTTGTTGGAAGTTGTAACTTGAATCCATTATTTTGAGTTTTGCCCTCTCTGGAGAAGGAGAAAAGTTTGCTCTACCTTCCATATGTCAGCCATTGAAGTATTTGAAGATGGCTATCATATATCCTCTCAGTCACCTCTTTCCCAGGCTAAACATACCCAGCTC